CATAAACGTTTCGCTAGGAGTGCGAGGCAGTTCTTCCCTTTACAAAAGCCATTTTGACTCATCTGTATGACAGCACTTTCATGCATATGCTCAGTAATTCTAATCTATCTTCAGTTTCCATTGAGTTGCCTGCTATAGACATCAGGCTTATACTATTCTTGGTTTCTTATGACATCCTTATAAACAAATGACATTACAGCTGGCACATCCCTGTCTCCTGCTACCATTGCAGTTTGATGACAGAGGATAGTTTGTAGTTCTCCCTTGAAGTCTTTCAGAATTGCTGGTTATACACCATCTGCTCCTTGGGATTTATTAGTATTAATTCTGCCTGTAAGTTCCATAACCTCTATGTCCCATACCGACTCTTCTAAGACACAAGCCCTGGTGAGTCCCCCCATAAAGAAGAGCTGGCTTGGGAATCTCATCCAGCTCTGCTGTAATGAACAGAGATGTAAAGAATTCATTTCAATTTTCTGTCCTTCTCTCTGTATTTCTTTTAATCTCCCTGGTGCTGCAGACTGCCTGGCAGGCTTCCAGAGCCTGAAGTGTTCAAAATGGGATTTATTATTAGATTATATGCCTTATGCAAGTTGTTCTTCAGACCCTTTTGGCCTGTCTCATGGTGTGGTTTACTTTTCATCTGTCACAAGTTTGGATTTTATTTTCGAGTTTAGGACCAAATTTAGGTTTTCGAAGGAGGCTTCTGAAAAGTTGTCCCCAGCAACAGGCTCTCTTGGCCCTCCTGCTGACCCATGACAGGTTCCTTTTTACCTGTATATGTATTTGCTCTGAGCTCCAGTATGGTATCCTTAAATTCTCCATGTAACCCACAAAGACATAATTATTGTAGCTGCCCCTCCATTTTTAACAAGTTTCTTCATTTTATGTGGTTTCATTGGGTTTTTTCTTTTTTCTTTTTTAAATCAAAGCACAAACTGGTGGATTTTTTCATTTTTTTTTTTTTTCTTGTCTATAAGGGATTTATGTAGGGAAGGAAAGGACAAAAGAAACAGAATGTCACTGTGTGATGCAATGGAAAATGCACACAGCATCTTAGAACTCTGCCTTCTGGAGGGGTAGATGGAACTGTGTTAAACTGCTGCTTCTGGCTGCAGGGATAGTAACCCCAGTGGCATTTGGAAACACCCAGGAGCAGCTTCTTTAAAAATCAGGAACTCCAAGAAATCCTGTGCACAAAAGGGTATTTATTGTGTGAGACTCATGCTGAACATCTGGACTTGCAGTTGATTGGCTGTAGTCCACTTTGTCTTCCTCACCAGGACCTCATCATGGCAACCTTGCTGTCTTCATGTCAAGGCATCTCCAGAGCAGTCACTGACCTTATTATGACCACTTAAAAATGACTACATCATGGTGCCAGCTCAGGAGAATATGTTTCTATTAGCAGATTTATCTTCTTTGGCATGCTGGCACTGACAAGTTACAGCTAAGGATTCTCTTCCTTCTGCTTCCCTACCTCATCTCCCATCTCCCTTGAAGGCAAGGCTGTTCACCAGCATCCCTACTGCATATAGGAGAGGTCTGTGACTGTAAGGGCCATGAATACATCTTCCCCATATCCCTTCCCACCACCACGGGGGTTTGGATGGCCTCAGTGCCAACTTTTATACGTAGCTGTCAGGCTTTGAGAAGATTCAGTGGGTGCCTGTCCCTCATTCCTTCCCACACTACTTTGAAATTCATGCTTCTGTCCTTAGTGTCTGCCTGAACTACATTGTAGGTACGTTTGTGTCTACCTCCCTCTGGTCCTTACCCAGTCTTGACTTCTGGCTTGAGCTGCCCTGTCACTACAGGCCTGTTGCTTGAAGTGTTAGTGAACCTGCTCTGCTCTTCTTGCTCAGGTATTGTGGTATTTGCTGGGTCCCAGCTCTATTTTCCATATGGAGCAGTCGGTCCCTGCTGCTTCCTGATAGTCCTAGTGTCCAAATGGAAAAAAAAAACCAGCCACTGAGAAAAGAAATGAGTGATAAATGGCAGAAGTATGTGGAGATAAATATTCTAGCATCATGAAGTACATACAAAACGTACAGTTTAATGGAGGGCATAAGATACAGTGGGGAGGTCCTTGCCCCTATCCCTGAACTGAAAAGGAAAAATGGCAATGAAAAGATAAAAAGGCTATTTTGGTCAAACTTAAGTGTAGACACTGAATTAGTAGTGCTGTGACTATCATATAAAGCAGTGTTAAAAACCTGTGGTAGTTCTATATGAATGTTGTGGTCACATCTCTGCAGTCATAACATAGAATTGTCTGGGAACCTTGACAGTAGCAGGAAAGGCATGCATCACCTCCGAAATGATGCCACTGCCACATACCTTTCTTTGCAACCTCAGATGGCCACAATGTTTACATACAGCAAAGTACTTCAAACACACTCAAAATCCATGGCAAAACGTGGATGTTGCCATACTGCTTTGCAAGCTTCCTTTGCAGCAGGGGCAGGAATCTGGCTGCATTTCAACAGGTAATGTTTCTTCAATAAGCCCACTGGTGCTTTAAGGGCTTTGGAGCCATGAACTTTGCCCATGAGAAGGGGAAGAACTACGCAGCAGGTGGAACTCTGATGCCAGAATTTCACCAGGGGAGTCTGGAGGGCAGAATGCAGACACTGTGTGCAGCAGTGACCCTGATGTGTCCTTCTGCAGAGCTGTGGAATCCCAGACTGGTTTGAGTTGGAAGGGACCTTAAAGCTCATCCAGTTCCAAACCTCTGCCATGGGCAGGGACACCTTCCAATAGAGCAGGTTGCTCCAAGCCCCGTCCAAAGTGGCCTTGAACACTGCCAAGGATGGAGCATTGTTATTAATGCCTCAGTTTCCTATATTTTCAGCAGACAGTCTCTATGTGACAATCACAATGCGTATTGTCTGTATCTCTCAATGTTATGGATTATTGGAGAGGTTTTTTTGGTGGAAAAGCTGTCCCTTTCAATCTTCTGGATATTTCTGTGGGTTTCTAGAACTGTATTTCCAGTCTGTTTTAATAAGTGACAGTACAATACCTCTACATGTAGATGAAGGCTTTCGTTATCTGAACAGCAACTCTTTTGCCCAGCACTTTGATCTGTCAAGTGAGGAGTGATTCCTGAGGTTGATAATGGTGTAAGAACAGATGTTGTTTCACAAACAGCAGGAGGCCTTTTTCAATGAAAGTCAGATGTTGGAAGACTGACTTCTGAACGTGAACTTAATTTGGAGTGTCTGGAAAGATAAGCAGCTCTGTGAGGACAGTGGAGCCACGCTGCAGCACAGAACTGCTCTGGTACGGTAACCATGGCACTGCAAACTTCTGCAGGGAGGTGTGATCACACCATGGCTCAGCACCGGGGTTCCAGCACCACACAGCGTGTGTTCTGTGGAGCATGGGAATCCTGGTGTGGGCTTCCCACCTGAGGCTTCAGCTCCAGTACTCATCTGGGATGACAAGAGTGTGGCTCTGCCGCCTCCCTAGAGCAGTGCAGGATGTCATATATCCCTGATGACACATCCCTCCTTTCTGCCCTATGCATCTCTCTTACGTAGTGCCCTGAGCCAGGCTCTGGAATGCTGCCAGCGCTCAAAGCCCATGTCAGGGAAAGGCTGCAGCCATCAAGCTGTGTTAGAGCAGCCCTGCAGAGGACTGCTTAGGGGTGTTGGTTGATGAGAAACTGAACATGAGCGGCTTCAGTGTGCGCTTGAGCCCAGAAACCCGCCATGTGCTGGGCTGCATCAAAAGCAGCGTGAGCAGCAGGTCAAGGGAGGTGATCCTGCCCCTCTGCTCTGCTCTCCTGAGACCCCACTTGCAGCACTGTGTGCAGCTCTGGTGTCCTCAGCACAAGAAGGACATGGAGCTGTTGGAGCAAGTCCAGAGGAGGCCGTGAGGATGCTCAGGGGCTGGAGACAGGCTGAGAACATTGGGGCTGTTCAGCCTGGAGAAGAGAAGGCTGCGTGGAGATGTGAGAGCAGCTTCCAGTGTCTGAAGGGGGTACACTGCAAGAGAGACATGGAGGTGCTGGAGCAGGGCCAGAGAAGGGCAATGGAGCTGGTGCAGGGCCTGGAGCACAAGTGTGATGGGGGACGGCTGAGGGACCTGGGGGGTTCAGTCTGGAGAAGAGAAGGCTCAGGGGGGACCTGATGGCTCCCTACAAGTGCCTGACAGGAGGTTGGAGTGAGGTGGGGTCGGTCTCTGCTCCCAAGGAACAAGGGACAGGACAAGAGGAAACGGCCTCAAGCTGCACCAGGGCAGGTTTAGATGGAGCTGAGGAACAATTCCTTCCCCAGAGGGTGCTCAGGCATTGGAACAGGCTGCCCAGGGCAGGGCTGCAGTCACCGTCCCTGCAAGTGTTCACACAGCGTGGAGACGAGGCCTCAGTGCCATGGGTTAGTGGTGGCCTTGGCAGTGCTGGGAACGGTTGGACTGGATGAGCTTAAAGGGCTTTTCCAACGCAGTTGATTCTGTGATCCTATACAGGGATGCTGGAGAGGGACTCTTCCTCCAGGACTATAGTGATAGGACAAGGGGTGATGGGTCCAAACTCAAACAGGGGAGATTTAGATTTAGCTCTTCCCTGTGAGGGTTCTGAGGCGCTGGCACAGGGTGCCCAGAGAAGCTGTGGCTGCTCCATCCCTGGCAGTGTTCAAGGCCAGGTTGGACAGAGCTTGGAGCAAGCTGCTCTAGTGGAAGATGTCCCTGCCCGTGGCAGGGGTTGGAACTGGATGAGCTCAAAGTCCTTTCCAGCGCACACCACGCCATGTCCCTATGACTGCCAGCACACCGCAGCACACCGACACCACTCCCGTGCTGCCGCCGCTGCCTTTCCCGCCCTCCGCAGCCCCACAGCGCGCTCCCGCTTTCCCGCCCGGCTCGGCTCGGCTCGGCTCGGCTCGGCCCGGCCCGGCTCGGCTCGGCTCCGATCTCGCTCCGCCCGCTCGGAGCCCTCCTGCGGCTGCGCGCCTCGCAACGCTCCCCCGGGGGGGCGGGCGGTATTAGAGGGAGGGAGGGGGGAGTGAGCTGTCTGCGCGCATGCGCGGCAGGCAGGAAGCCGGCCCCGTGGGGAGGGGGTTGCGCTGGCATGGCGGAGGCGCGGCCCGGTGCAGGTAAGTGTGGCCGCTGTGCTCGCAGGAGCGGGCAGGATGGCTGCAGAGGGGTGGAGCAGCTCATCGCCCCGCAGCCTGTCGGGCAGACGGCCGCGCCGTGCCGGTCGAGCGAGCGCTGCTGTGTTGTGGGGCTGCGGCACCAACACCACCTGTTGCCGCCGCCCCCTCCCCTTGGCCCGCCGCAGCTTGTGGGTGCTTTTGGTGATCGAAATGGCTGGGCCGGCCTTGGCGGCGAGGGGGAAACTTTGCCTGAGGAGGGACGTGTGAGCTTCGGTGTGTGACGAACGAGCCCGGCGAGGCGGTTGGCGTCTGGAAAAGTTCACTGCGCTGTGCCCACCCGCATCCGCGGAGCCCACACGCAGCCTGACGTGTCCCAGCCCGCGGGCTGCGCGGGGATCGCGGCGGGGCCAGGGGTCTGGGCAGGCAGGAGGTGGCTGCTGAGGCAGGTGCCACCTCACCTGGCCGCAGTGGGCAGGTTAAGCTTTAAGCTGATAGAGGAAGATTCACGTTAGGTACAAGGAAGTTATTCCCCGTGAGGGTGCTGAGGCGCTGGCACAGGGTGCCCAGAGAAGCTGTGGCTGCCCCATCCCTGGCAGTGTTCAAGGCCAGGTTGGACACAGGGTCTTGGAGCAAGCTGCTCCAGTGGAAGGTGTCCCTGCCCATGGCATGGGGTTGGAACTGGATCAGCTTAAGGTCCTTTCCAACCTCAACTAGTCTGGGGTTCTATGATTGAAGCTTAGATGGTCTTTAAGGTCCCTTCCAACCCAGACGAGTCTGTGATGTAGGCAGGGACTCGCGGGTGAAGAGCCGTTTAGGGACCCCCCCCACCTGGACTGTGGTTGAACATCACAAGTGCAAGAAGGATTTTATTTCTTTCATTTGTTCTTTTACCTGCTGGCTTTTATGATGCAGGCACAGGTTAATTTTTGCTTTACCATGTGTGGCTGTTGAGGAGGAGGAGGGAGATCAGCTTTTCAGGATCCTTATTCTAGCCTTGCATTTAATGATTTGTCATGTACTATGGGTATTTAATGATAGAAGAACCATTATGTAACTGTGACTTGAACATGTAAGTAGAAATAACATGGTTCCCCAGAGTTGTTGATGATATTTCATGTTTTCTTGTAGTCTGGGTAGACTTCTCAGGTAATCGGTGTCACTTTGGGATCACCCGATGAGCTAACTCATTTCACCATTTCTGGAGTCATTAGGTTTCTGCCTGGAAGAATCCTTGTCTTTTGTGGCTGGGATGAAGAAAATATGAATCTCTATTTTTGCAGCACCCTGATGTTAATTCAGATAATGTTATGATTAGCCTATATCTTAAATAGCATCCTCTGCCTCTTCTCTCTGCTTGACAGCTGCCTTGTGGGAAGTGGAATGGCCTGGGACATGGTTCAGAGAGTAGAGAGTGATAGTTTCAGTTAAGAGAAGCTGCTGCAGGAAGCTGCTGCAGGCAAATGTCTGCTTGTTTGTCTTCTGTACTGTGAGGCTTCAAGTCAGCTCTGGTCCTGAAATGTTTTATACAGTGTATATGTATTGGAATAAAGGGTCTTAGATAGGTGTACTGAGCTAAAAATAGCTTTGCTGGCCATGATCAGCCTGGATGATACACCATTTCTGCATTTGCTTTACAGTACTTAAGCTAACACATACTGTCATATTGTCCTGGAGCTCATTACTTGTTATTTTAATCCATACTATGTTATGAGGAGCCATCTCACAGGTAAGTTTCAAATTGTGCTTGTACAATATTAAGATGGGAACTGACTTTTCCCCTGCAACTCCATGGGCAGACTGAGCATATGACTGTGAGCTTAAATATGAAAGGTATTTCTGTTCTCAGGGTAGATCTGGGGAGCAGTTGGGGTTGAGGAGTGACAGTTTTGGGTCATGGCAGATGTGCAGCCCATCTGGGATATTTTGCCAGTGGTGACTGATCGTTGAGAATTGGGTAATGAGTATAAGAGACAAAGGGGAAGAATATAAGAAACAAGGCAATGCTAAACTGATTATTCACATTGCGACATCTTTCTAGTTTCTAGCCCTATGCACCTAGAAGGGACAGGTGGCGTTTGTATTTAATCATAGAATCCCAGACTGGTTTGGGTTGGAAAGGACCTTAAGATCATCCCCATGGGCAGAGATGCCTCACAGTAGACCATGTTGCCCAAGGCTCTGTCCAGCTGGGCCTTGAACACTGCCAGGGATGGAGCATTCACAACTTCCTTGGGCACCCTGTGCCAGCACCTCGCCACCCTCACAGGGAAGAACTTCTTCCTTATATCTAACCTGAACTTTGAACCCATCACCCCTTATCCTATTGCTATAGTCTCTGATGAAGAGTCCTTCTCTGGTGTCCTTGTAGGCCCCCCTCAGGTAATAGCCATTAATGAGAATGAGTATTTTCTTTTGTCTCATCAGTTTCCTTAAGTGCTGCTGAATGTAGTTTTGGGGTTTGCCTGCATGATGACAGCTGAGTCATTAGACATGGTATAATGTGCCTAAACTGAAGATACCAGGGAGTTGCTATGAAGCATTGAGTACCCCACTGTAAGGGTGAACAGCAAAGTGAAAACTTGTAATACATTCGTTTTCCGTATGCAAAATCTGTTCTGTAGCAGATGCTTCTCTTAGGATGATGAAACTACTTATAGCAAAGTTGTAGTTTTTTCCTTACTTGTATGTTTCTCTTGTATCATCTTGAAATGGGTTAGCTAAAACTTCATGTTCTCTTCAAAATCTGGATGTGCTGAATTTGGACAGCATAAAAACCCAAAAGCATAGCACTGTGCACCAGTATACCCAGGAGGTAACTAGCTGGGAAGCAGCTCTGCAGACAGGGAGCTTAGGGTTCTTGGTGGACTATAATCAGACCTCCCTGTTCACTCTCACTCATAAGGAAGCTGTAGACAGCAGTCAGGTCACCCCTTAGTCTTATCCATCCTGAACAACGCTAGTATTCTTAGTTGTTCCTCCAAAGTCATGTCTTCTAGCCCTTTCACCATCTTTTTAAACCCTTTTGGGACACACTAATATTTTTATGTCTTTTCATTGTGGAGCCCAAAACTGCACACAGTACTCAACTATGTTTGTTTGATTTTATGGCTGTCTCACTAAGAAATTGTCAATTAAGAAATAAGTGCTTGTCCAATAATCAGTGTTGGTTTATTTAATTCCAATTTTTCTTTCTGTCTAGGAGATAGAGCTGAATTCATGTAAGAATATGGAAGTACTACCTCTGACACCTAAGGGGCTACCAAGTGGACTGTTGTACCTGTTATCATAAGTTAGGGTTGGAAGGGACCTTAAGATCATCCAGTTCCAACCCCCTGGCAGGGACACCTTCCACTAGACCAGGTTGTCCCACGCCCTGTCCAGCCTGGCACTGAACGCTGCCAGGGATGGAGCATTTACCACTTCTCTGGGCAATCTGCAACAGTGCCTCAGTACCCTCACAGTGAAGAACTTCTTCCTTATATCCAACCTGAACTTCCCTGTTTCAGTTTGAACCCATCACCCCTTGTCCTGTCACTGCAGTCCCTGATGAAGAGTCCCTCTCCAGCATCCTTGTAGCCCCCTTCAGACACTGGAAGCTGCTCTGAGGTCTCCACACAGCTTCTCTTTTCCAGGCTAAACAGCCTCAGTGTTCTTAGCCTTTCTCCATATAGGAGGTACTCCAGCCCTTGAGCATACTCGTGGCCTCTTCTTGATTTACTCCAACAGCTCCATGTCCTTCTTAAATTGACAGTATCAGCACTACACACAGTGCTGCAAGTGGGGTCTCATGAGAGCAGAGTAGAGGGGCAGGATCACCTCCTTCGGCCTGGCTGGACTTCTTCAATATAATGTTTTTTGTCTTTCTTAGTTATAAACTTTATACAGTCTCGGCCTAATTAAAGTACATTGTTTAAAGGCTCTTCAAAATCTGGATTACAATTCAGCTTGCTGAAACTGTGCTAAGAAATGTCACTTAAACATAATGTCTGTTAGTGGCACCTTCAAATGGCATTATTGATGTCTTCATAAAAAAAGAGTACCTAAGTTAAGTCTGGCTTTACTAGTCCATAAAATAAGCTGGTTTTGAAGTAGAGCTTGTAGTGATCAAAAAGAGATGTATACTTACTAATTTGCTTTGTCTTTATAAAAGTGGCCTTATCAAATGATTTTTCTGAAGGACACTTCACACAGACTACCTAACCTTGCCAAGGCATTTTGTCTCTCTCCGTAGTTAATGCTCAGGGGGTGTATTGTGCAGTGTTGTGGCAGAACAGATTTAAAACCATATAAGTTTCATACGTTTAGTTTTAATTCACATTTGAGCTCTTAAGGATATTAAAATCTGCAATGAAGAAGTTGTTTCTAAAGGTACTGAGATTTTCTTTGTTTATTTTATAGACAGGCTGGGATCTTGCTTTGGAGCTTCTCTTTTTCTTGGGGTTTTTGTGCATGTACATGTAAACATGTCAGAGGAAATTTGAGCCAGTGTTAGCTACTGATTATTACACTTGTATGTGTATTTTGCAGTTACTTGTCTTGGCAGACAGAAGTAAGTCTTAGTAAAATTTACCACTTTGGAATTTTATTCATAATGTAAAAGCTGACAGTAAGAACAGGAATCCTATTCATGGGTGATATAAAAAGTCCTAATGAATTATTCATATTTTCGAGGTGCTTTTAAATAGCTGAATCCCGATTTCCCATCTGTTTCTTCAAACTTAAGAGATTACTTGGAAAGTGCTGACAAAAGTATCTTTTCCACAGCTATATTCCAAGTCCTGGTTATGCTTCTTGGAGGCCACGTGCAGAAGTTAATTTGTATTTTAGAAGCCCAGCATTTTAAAGCCATGTCCAGTGTGTTTTTATGTCGGTATCAGATAGTGTTACTGATCTACAAAACAGACTTCCTCAAGCTTATTTACTGCATTCATTTGAAAGCCCTTTGCAGCAATTTGTTTGTAATTCATGCATACATTTTTACATACCACATTTCATAACCAAAGAAATGATGGTCTTTAATAACAGAATGTACTTCTCAGAGGCAAGCTGTGTGATATTTGCAAAACGTGTTTTTATGGAACGTTAATAAGCCAGTTGGTTTCCCTTGTATCTATCTTTAAATTTTAAATTAAAAATTAAATTTTAAACTTTAAATTTTTAGGGTATCTGAAAGAATTCTTAAACCAGCAAATGAAATGGATTGCTTCTATTTTAGTTGGTATGTAATTACAGGATGGCAACCTATCTTCAAATCAAAATATGTGAAACTGTGTTAAGTAATCTATACTGAATGACTGTTGCTTACATTATAGTGTTCTTCGTTAGTGATAGGAAAGAAACTAGCGAAACAGTGGAAAAACTGAAAGTGTAGCTGTAGGAAGTAAAAAGGACAACTTTATTTTTTGAGTTCTTTACACAGAATACATGTGCTAACACGAGAAAAATAGACTGCTTCCAGGGAAGCTGCTTGCAGTCCAGGTTTTCAGATGTATAAGCCTAGTGTTTTGTATGTACTAGGGTCTACACTCCTTATGATAGAATAGTTGAGCTGGAAAGGACCTGCAGTGATTAAGTCCAACTGCCTGACAGAAAGTTAAAGTGTATTATTAAGGGCATTGTCCAGATGCTTCTTAGACACTGACAGGCGTGGGGCTTTGACCACCCTCCTGGTAAAGGAATGTTTCCTTCTGTCAAGTTTGAACCTCTCCTGATGGATGCAGCTTTGAGCCATCCCCATGCACCCTGTCACTGGACACCAGGGAGAAGAGCTCAGCACCTCCCTCTCCATTTCCCTTCTCTTTAAGGTTGATTCTTAACTCAGTCCCAAGCAGTTCTGAAAGGCCTCTGTCTGGTGTTCTCATTCTGCTGTCTCAAAATCAGGTTAGTGTTACAGCTTAAAAAAATGCAAACACACACTTTGCGTTTGCTCTTTATATCTAGTGTGATAATATAGAATAGCATATAGCATAAAATGTACCAGTATGCTGTTACATTAATAACACATACTATAATATTATTATCTATTAATATATTAAATAAAAATAGTTATGTATATTGCCTTTGCAAAGACAAAACCCCAGAATGATTTCAACTGAGTCTCTCTTTAAGAAGTATGAATTAGGTTATGTGGTTAAGAGCATGCTTAAATGTAATTTAAAGTTCCTGACTTTTAGAAAACGTAAAGCTTCACTTCCACAAAATTGTATGTTATGTTTTTTTCTTTGGCCAGCAAATCTCTCATAGTAGTTATGACTGTTCCTAAAGGTTTAAAATAACTCTTTCATTTGAAAGTAAGTGAAATTCACTGAGAAAAAATATCTTAATGTTTTGGAATGTCCTGGTTTGTTCTTCCATTCAAAATGTTAATTTCCACGTTATTGAAAAGGTAAAATAATAGGTAGAGAGTGCCTATTATTTTAATGCCGCTTCAAATGTTTTCCCAGATCATTTTTTTTATACTCTTATATTAACTGTGTGTCATTCTGTGAAGATGGCAAGAGAAGGTAATGTCCAGAAAGCACTGTATGGTTTGACTCTAGTTTTTGGAAACTTGTTTGCAGTTGTTCTGTCAAGTGTGGGATTGATTTATCTTCTGGGCCTTTGCATGTACGGTAGTTTTGCTGCGAAGAAATCATAGAATCACGGGCCGGTTTGGCTTGGAAGGGACCTTAAGGCTCATCCAGTTCCATCCCCTTGCCAGAGGCAGGGACACCTCACGCTAGACCAGGTTTCTCCAAGCCCATGTCCAACTTGGCCTTGAGCACTGCCAGGGATGGGGCAGCCGCAGCTTCTTTGGGCACCCTGTGCCAGCGCCTCAGCACCCTCACAGGGAAGAACTTCCTAGTGTCTAATCTCAGCCTCCCCTCTGTCAGCTTAAAGCCATTCCCCCTTGTCCTGTCACTACAGGCCCTGGCAGTATTTCACATTTAATAGTCTTATACACATCTTTATTTTTTCACTTTTTAGGTGCTTTGAATTTCAATCCTGATGCTGCTAATTCCATTCCAGGAGAAAGGCAACCTACAGATGTAAACTGGGCCAACAAAGATAGAAAAGATTCCAACAGTAATCTGAATAGAAGTCATTTACCATTTCCTAGTCTGTCTTCTGAAAGAGGTACGGAGTATGAAAGCTCTTCCACAAAGCATCATGGCATTTGTAGTCCAGAAAGTCAGTATGGGAATCCTGAAGACTTTCACCGGTATTTTGGTAATAGTAAAAGTTTGAAGAACCGCAACTTGCAAAGCCAGAGATGGCACAGATCAAGAAATGACAGCACATGTACTAGAAGTAAGATAAAGCCAAGTATTGCTGATGCTGCTGCAGGTCCGGGAGTTTCAGATGCTGCGGTGGTACCGGGGAGAAGAGCACCTGCTAGAGGATACAATGACTTTGTCTCCTCAGAGAGTGACAGGGAAGTACCGAGTGCTGATAGCAGGGGAGCAAAGCCAAAGAAAACACACCTGATGCATGTATCTGGAAGAGGTTTCAGGGAGAAGGCGAAGCAAGTACATGACCGGGAAAAGAGAGTAAGCTCTAAACAGAAAGTAGAGCTGTTTGAAAATGTTCCATCTTTGGATTTGACTCAGTCTGACTCTTCAGAATCATCTGTTGGAAAAGCTTTCTGTGATGCCCCTGTTGGTGGTGTGGATGAGCAGAAAGGCTACAATTACTCAAACAAAAGATACCCCCGGAAACCTGTGTGGAATAAACCCCCTGCAGAAAAAGAGTGTCAGAAAAGACATGATTCTCACCGTAGTAAAACTACAAAAGTAAGTAAGAAGTCGTCTCTTGCATATACTCCAAAAGATAAAAATGAAAGGAAGAAAGAACTGTCTGTTCACAGAAATGATGAAACCTTGACGAGTGATATCAGGCATCAGTTGTCTGATTCTGTCAGATGTAATGGAAGAAAGTTCCTTCTAAAGGGGGATCAAGCACCTGCACTTCATTTCAGCTGGACCCAGTACTGGAAAAAGCAAAGTGATGTACCAAAAAACAAAGAAACTCATACAGGTAAACTTTCTAGACTGTCCTGTACTTCTGTATTAAAGATACGATCATGAATAATTTGAACTGCCTTCACATTTGACTAACTAAAGAGGCTTATTTCACATTAGGTCAGTATCTGAAGGTAGAATTGCATGTAAATGTGTGGTTTCTGAGTGGTGAGATGTTCTGTTATGTTTACTAGGGAAGAACAGATTTTGTTTAAAGGTGGTTTTGTTTGGTTTTTGGTTTGTTTCACTGCCAAACTGCAGTTGGTGGAGTGGTCAGGCACCATGTTAAAACATATACGCTGGGGGAGCCAGGGAGTCAAATTCTGAGCATAGTAAAGAAGGGGACTTGAGAGGGACAATCCTGAAATTGATTTTTGCAGAATGGTTTTCTCATGTTTTGTGTAAAAGTAGGAAAATGACAGATAGAAGAAATGTATTCTCCTCCTAACTGGATTATTCTTTGTTCCTTTTTTGCAACATATAAAAAGATAGTAAGAGAAAGTTTCTGGAAACTGGCCTATTTTTTTTCTTTTTTTTTTTTTTTTTTTTTGTCCTTTTCCAGTTGAACCACCCAAAAATCTCAACCTTATCTGTGCTGCCCAGAATGGTAGAGACAGGTAGACTAGTTCCTATCTTAACTGTGGTACGGAATCTTCTGAAGGTTGTGCTTCTCAGCGTCTCTTCGCTTTCAGAGCTGAGAAAGTAGTAGCATAATCAGGAAGTGTAATGTTGCTTCAGGTAGTAACTTTGTTCCCTTAGGAGAAAGAAGCTCAAGGGTCATGATTCTCTTTGAGCCTTTCTAATGCAAATACAGTAACTTTTGTGCTCCTGGGTTCTACTTGAATCATGAAAATATCTCAGTCTTTCTCCCATCATTATTATGACATGGAAAAGGTGGAATGCAATAAGCAGGAAGAGAAGTAGCAATCTTTTGCAGGGCACTGAAGGAACTTCCTCTAAAATGGCACTCTGTCTTTGTATGCTTTAGTTGGGAGCTATTTTGGAAACGTGGCTGCCACTGTTTTCAGGGGACTGAGTCTGAGTCCTTGTGGGACAGCTGTTCTTTCTGAGTACAGAAAAGATAGCTTTAATCTTCTGGAGAAAAGGAGTCTGGTTTAGGTAGGGATGCTTTCTTTGCTGCTCTGGTGGGCTTGCTTTCAGTCATGTGTGTTATGAACATGTTTTGAATTGATAATAATTTTTCTTTTGTTATTTCCATATTTTTTTGTCTTTCATTATGAGTTCTACCTTCCTTTGTATTGGCACTGTGTAAAAATGGTACATTCTTACCCTTCACACTTAAGATCTTTAAAATTCTGCAGACTTAGATCAAATAACATTTAAAAGGTGTATTTGGTTGCCTTACCTTGATGGGAGAGTCAACTTCAATTCTGCCAGACTCTACGGTGCCTCTGTTACCGTTGCACATGTAACTTTGTTGCCAGACTGTTTTGTCTTTCATGTGTGGAGTGCTTGCTTTATTTTCAGAGTACTTTTTCATGTTCTTTCATGGGCTCAAAGGCCCTGTACTTTGATTATTCTTTCCCAGTAATTCCACTTCTAAAGCAGTCAGTTTATGAGGGGCTTATTTTTGTAATCCAAGTACTTCACTGTTAATATTTGTTGTGTGATCACTCAGGAATACTGAAGGATGGGAATTTAATTTTGGCCGAACTTTCTGTAGTTAAGAGCTTTAAGCTTTTGAGTTTAAACTTTAGGCGAAGATAAATTTCCCATAAAAAGTGATGAGTAAAATCCCAAACTTCTGCCAAGCTTAAAACCATTAACAAATTTGGAAGATTGGAATGATTGTTATTCCTTAACAGGGATTACTCTTGCCACTTTTGTGGGAATCTCATACTTGCTTTTCCTGCTGTGAAACTTAGAAAAATGCTTATCAGGTTTCAGACCAGAATCTTCAAGGAGTAAACTAGTATCTTGCTTATAGCCATACAGGAAAAAGAAGTCGTGTTATAGTTTAAATGAAATATTGAATTTCACTTGTATTTTGTTTCATGTACAAGTGTGTGCTTTATTTGCAGGGTCACTGATTGAACAGCTGACCACAGAGAAGTACGAGTGCATGGTATGCTGCGAGGTGGTCCGAATAGTAGCCCCAGTGTGGAGCTGCCAGAACTGCTACCATGTATTCCACCTGAACTGCATTAAGAAGTGGGCACGATCACCAGCTTCACAAGCTGAAGGTTGGTATTCTCTTGCACACACTTCTTCTCTCAAATATATATAATAGCAAAATTTGTGTTTCTTATGTTGGAAAACTGCTTGTAAATACTGTCTGAGGTAACCAGTAAGCTGTAAACAAAGCAAATTTTAATTACTTGGTTCTTCTTCCGTGGTTCTTTAGATACTCTGTATTATCTTCCTAACTGTCTTGATTCTTTCTAGTGTTATAGCTAAAACTAATTTTCAGGTTTAGAAGCGTATGTAAAAGATCACTCAATGAAACCAGTGCATCAAGATGCAAAGCTTTGTGGCTGTGTTTTTATATGCCAAGAAGTGTCTCATCTTTGCTCATCTATGCTTGGCTGAGCAGTCAAACAGAAGCAGTACTCCAGGCATCAGTTGTCTGCTTTTACTCTTAGTTCTGTTCTCAAATAAAGCACTCCTGAAATCTGTCACTGATGCCATGCAGTGAAATGAAATTCAGAGAAGACAGAAAGCTTCTGCCTTTGTCACTAGCTTAAAACTGTTTCAGATTCTTCGTATTAACCACTTTTTGAATATCTGATACCCCTACATTCTGCCCTGTGAATGCTTTTGGTGTAAGTTAAAGCTGAATTGCAGTCTCCCCGCTGTGTTCAGTTGTGTGATGTGGACGCACTGAAGACTGTAATGTTCATCTTGAAGTAGAGTTAATTTTTTTCTGGACCCTGCTTGCTTAGCATTTACCAATCTTCATGTGTTTGTCTGGGCATACTTGGGTGGGAAGAAGCAAAGAATTATCCTACCTTAACAAAGACTTCTTGCACCCTACAGTATCTCTCTTCTTGGGGTATCTTTCAGATGTGTTTTACTGAAGGTACCTTCCTTCAGAGAGTTACTTGCCTTCTGTTGTCTTGGTCATTTGAAAAATCAGTTTGACCAAGCCAGGTCAAAGAATCTCTTGATTATCTGTGGGGAGTCATAGGGTATTTCTCTATTCTTGGCTATTCTGATAATAGACTTGTGATTGGCATCCAATGTTTGATATTTCCACAGTGTAGATTATCAGCAGCACTAAGAAGTAGAGAGTGGATTTTCATTGTGTGTTAGAGATGTCCAGGTCAGGAGAAGGAAGGGGTCTGCTAGGCATGACCTTGCTATCATGTGGAGAAATCTTTTTCTATAAGGAAGAACATCACTTTCTCCTTAGCAAGCATTTTGTACTAACATCTTGAATTATGTCTTGAAGGAATGTGACCTTTAAATACTGTACAGCTAAGGTCAGTCTGACAAAAACACTTGCACTGCACACATCTTGGTTGTGTTTATAAAGGGGAAAACTGTTGTCTGTTGCCACCTTTCTTGTACTTTTAAAATCTGATGCTTCAGTGGTGTTTGACTTGTGTACTTACATTGATGGGAGAATATATCCCCTTATAGCCATTTACTTCCTTCTTTGTGGATGGTTTTACTGGTATTTGCATTTTGGCTGGAAGGGTTGGAGATATTTGAGTTACAACAACTCTTTCTATTCTGCTTCCTCTGATCCCCTTGCTCTCCACTTCCAGATTAGACAGTGGTCTGTACCAGTATTGGTCTCTAAGATGGATTCTGAGTTTCGGTGGTCAGAATATGAATCTACTTGCCTCTTTTTTTCTTTTTCCCCTTTTTTTCCTTAAGCCGTGCTACTTAAGGGCTGAAGCCATTCTGTGTGCCTTGGATATTCTGTGTGCCTATATATTACACAAATATCACTTTTCTGTTACTGGGACAAAAGCTTTTGATTGTGTCTAGCTGAGAAGTCAAAGCAGTAATTTATTTTCATGCAGATTATCTCTTTGGAGAACTGCTTAAGACCGTCTTAGAAATGGTAGCATGAAACTCCCAGTGTTCATTCGAGTATAGTCTACACAGTTGAAGTGATTGAAATCTTGTTTGGGGTTTTTCTTATGTACCTAGCATTGTATATATGTGGAAAATTCCTCCATACTGCTGACTTTGGAAATGCAGCCTTCTAGCATTCACTTTATTCTAGCAGATGTGCCTGGATCCTTTCTTATGTAATTACCTGTGACTCATCTAGGCAAGCATGTAAAGCGGAAAGTTGCTTGTTTGAAACTGCACATAAAGATCTCTAGTCTATATATATAATTCCCAGCTCTTCCTACTCAAGGTTCTTTTGAGCCTTTTAGTCCTATAGGATGCTGGAAACTGAGGAGGTTTTTCACTGTACCTTTATGACAACAGGGATGCAGGAAGGGGCAGGGTTCTGGGCATGGTACCACAGGTAAATATAACTGTCCTTTCAAAGTCTTTGGTTGGAAGTCTCTGTACTTCGATCTTATTAATGAGAAGATTGATGGGAGTGGAATGATCATTCTGTAGGGTCATCCTCATTCCCACTTTTTCAGTAATCAGGATTTGGAAGGAGTGGTTACAGGACTGTAATGTAGATTTCAGGAGTCACCCCAGTGTCATTCTACCTTACTGTGATTGCATCTGAATCCACAAAGAAAACTTGATTCTTATTTCTAGAGGAAAGCAACTGTGCATGTTCCTTGTGGGTGGATCCACGTGCCCTCCTTAAAGGAACAAAGGATGATCAGTGATTAAGGACAGCAAAATATATCTTGAAAGTCTGTTTTGCTTGGTAAAAGGTTCATATTTTACAAGGACCTTCACTAAATTCTAGAGGAATTGTTGTTCGTAAAGAACTCCTGCTCTGGGCATGTTGCTCTGGGAGAGATGTTGATAGGAGAGGCCTTCTTCTGGCCTCCTGAAGCTTTATGATAGGCTTACCTTGAAAAGCATAGCATAGAATAACAGTGAAAGAAATAATGTTGTTAATGCAATAGTGATGTATATTTTACAAAGTAATTCCATAGGGAATCCCTTAGGGTTTACTGTGCTAGCTTTGGGAGGGACCATGTAAGATGCTGAAAGCTTTGTCAGCAGATTCCCCTTTCAGTTTCCTGCTGCCATTTTTTACCTGTAGCTTTTAACACTTCTGTCTGAGATGCTTCAATTTGTAGCAGTCAAATAAATAAAGACATCTTGGTCAGGAAACACAGATTGGTCTTGATCATGAAGATGGGAGCATACTCCTTGTGCCACTGTCATACAGCTATTCAGCCCATAATTGTGTAGCTTTCTGCCACTTTTGGTGGCACAGTGATAGAAGCCAGGATGAGGAGGGGTATGAATAGGCACCAACTGAAAAGAACAGACGTGCTTTAGATTTGCATTTCAAGAATGGCAGAGCAAATGATCACAAACTGGATCATTTCCAGTTTGTGAAAATCATTACCAGTGTGCGTTATGATGGTTAATGCAGGACGCCTCCAGTCCTGGTGATAGCAGGTGTAGGTGTGCCTGTCATTGCAGTGCAGTGGTTGTCTCACATAGGGTTTACTGTTTAGAATTCTTCCTGCATTCATAATGTGAGAACATCATAAATCTCAATCAAATTTCTTAATAGCAAAGAACAGTTCCAAAATCTCAGCTTATTAATTCACCAGCACTGGTTGAGAGAGTAAGAGCTTATCAGTTTATAGATATTTTTATATCTATCTGTTCAGTAGTGGTCTTATACTTGGTATTCTTCATAGCCAGATATGTACTGAATTTAGGAAACATCTTCATGAACATTGTATTCTTTACACTGAAGTTCTTCCTTTACTGCTAACCGACCCCCTCCTGAAATGCACAAGCAAGAAAACTACCATTTAATAAAATACCAACTTGAAGAATAATGTCCTAGTCAATACCTAGGTATTGTCACCTTGAAATTAATTAAAGTAGATCATTCTGATTTATATAGCACCAGTTTATTCTGGACATGAAGCAATACTGAATTGGTCTTCAACAAGACACGTAAGCTTGTAACACTGGATGATAATGAAAAGGAATACGCAGGTGGTGCTGAAGACTGTAGGTAATTATATTTTTCTCACCAATTTCCCACACTTCAATATGTTCTCACACCTTTAGGTATGGTAAAGAGTTTGTATTCTAGTAGAATGTCTTATAACACGATAATAGAAAAAGTGGAATTGTAATACTGCCTCTATATGAAGTTGGAGCCTGGTCGGATGAAGTAGCACTATATCTTAATACAGATAAAATGCATTTTTATGAACCTGCTTTCTAACTGCTTCTGGTTTGGTTGCAGCTGTGGTAAGAAACAATGCAAGAGCACTTACTCCAAGCTTGCAAATTAGCTCCTTTATTTACGTCAAGTCATATTTATCCTTATTTCTTTTATCTGCAGATGGCAATAGCGGTTGGAGATGTCCAGCTTGTCAGAATGCTTCCACGCAAGTTCCTAAAACTTACACTTGTTTCTGCGGTGAGTTTCTTGCTTTTGCAAAGATAAACAATTTTGTCATTTTGATTCTTTAATTGGAATTCTGCTATTACTGCTTGTTTGCCTGCGTCCCTGGAGTTAACCTTGTTTAAAAGTGTATTGGCACTGAAAGGTGGCTGTGTAGAGAATCATACATATGCTGCTTAAAACACTTAAAAATGAAATACTAAATCAGAAGTGATAAACATGTTCATAGCACTGTAAAAATAGGTTTTATGGAACAATGATAGAATTGGGCCACTATCCTATAAGCTTGCTTTCTGTAGAAAGACTGAAATAACATTTGTGTCTTGTCATTCTTTGTGGCAAGATACACCAAAATACTACACAATTCCAGTATGCAACTATCTTCACCTTTAAATTGCTTTAGCATTTTTATCATTTATGTTGATCAGGGACACATACAAGTTAAATAGGAAATAATACAATTTTCAGATCTTCATGTGAACACATCTTTTATTAAAGAGGTAGATGAGGCAAGTACCACATTCACTAAGCCTTTAGTATATGATGGAGAAATGCATTATGTTACTTAATTGCATATGTGCAAATACATTTTGTTTGAGATTTACGCTTCTGAAACTTGTGGTGATTCTGTGTAGCTATTCCTTCCTTAAGTGAGAGTCACAGGAAAGTTATGCCTGACTTTCTACAAAACAATGTTCTGGAATTGAAATGGGATCTGAGGGTCAGTGAACTTGTCCTAAAGAAACTAGACTTGTGCTGTAATAGGTGAGAATTTGTCTAAAGTTCTCTTATCTAAACATCTGAGTCAGGTAAAATCAGTGCAATGCAGGTAGGACTGGAGGTTTTGTATGAAAATGTGTGAAATCTGAGGAGTACAGGGATAAAAATTCAGATAGAATGAACTGATTTGAAATTAAAATTACACTTTTAGGAGAGGTTGTCATTGTGTTAAATAGGAAAGAAATTATTGCCCAGGGTTAAAGATAATTTCATAGTTTTGGGAGATCTACAGTAGGAACCTCAAGTTGTCCATGGGGTTAATATTACCATGTTTGAACATAAGATTTTTAATCTTTTATAGATAATTTTACATTAACAATATGGATATTTGGATATCACCAGTTGCTTATGCAGAGCTATCTTCTATTTGATGGAAAATACTTCGTGTTCAGTGTGGTTAAGTATGGGTTTTTCATCATCCCATAAGGAAATTCTGAGTAACTTTTTCTTCTGAATCTTCTAATTTTATGGATTTTCCCTTGTATTCGACTAGTTTAACTGATAGGCAGGTGAATAAATACCATCTGTGGTGTTTATTTGTATTTTCTTAACTTGCAACTTGCAGAATACACAAAGATGTACTAAAAGAATTAAAATTACATATCTTATATAATGATATTTTTCAAAGTTGACTACTGCCAGTATTGAAAACGCAGCTTTTTGATGTGATATTTTCACCATTCAATATCTTATTCAAGGCAATAAATATGTTTTTGTTTTTTGACATGGTTTAGGTAAGGTGCACAATCCTGAGTGGAATAGAAACGAAATCCCACATAGCTGTGGGGAACTTTGTGGAAAAAAGAGACAGGGTTTGGACTGTCCACATCTATGTAACATGTAAGTAAATGTTGATCATATGGATATGGAAATGATGTAGAGATAATTTCTGAAGGCTATAGTTGGATATTTTTTTGTCTGTCGGATATGCTTAGAGGTATATTTGGTTTATAGCACAGATGAAGCCTGGAAAAAATGGAGGTTATTTGTGTTTGTATTCCCAAGGTGAGTTCACACGAGAACGAACAGGAGGTCAACAATAGTTGTAGCAACATTTCCATCATTTTAGGAACTAATCCAGCTGCCTGACTTGGTTTCAAAAACCTTAATTGAAGTACAAAAGTAATACTGAACAGAGGTAACTTTAAACATGTAGCCAGTGGTCCAGGCTTTTTAGGTGCTGCTTTTCCCATATGGGTGTTTATCTATATCTTAATCTAAGAGCAGTGGTACTTGGTTAAACTGAAGGACTGCTTACTTCTGTCCTTTGTTTCTTTCTCTTTCCTTTGGCTTGTAAACTGGTGAGGATAAGAAGGTATTTTATGTATTTATCTATTTGTTGAGACCACCAGATGGTTGAACCAGAATCCCTCATGGAGACCTTAATCAGTATATATAACTCAGATTGGTTTTGCTGACATTTATTAGCATAATTCAATGAAGAGAGGCAAGAAAGTGCAAATCCTGTAGATGTTTTTTTTAGTAATGTGGTACTAGTATATTGATAAGGTTAGCAGCATTAGTCAGGCTATTTCTGTGTATGAATAGGCTTGCTAGTCAGAAAAATAAATTACATGTTGCTTCTAGTCTATCCAGCTTAATTTTCCATGTATGGAAGCTGGTCCATAATGCCTATTCATAATTCTGCTTTGAGGCTTTTTTAATAGAAGCAATTATTTCTGCTCTTGGTATGTAATCAAAAACTTCAGTCATTCCAGCGAATAGACTGTCGTCTTAAACCCCTTCCAAGGTATACTAAAGCTCAGAACTTCAGTAGAACTTTACCCTGAACTTTTTACTTAATGCGTTCTGTTTCAAATCTATTTCAACATCTTGTTGAATGAAAGAATGTTTCTGTACTTGTAATACTTCTTTCCCACACTTGAAAATATGTTAGATTCTTCCCCTCTGCTCCACTGACGTACTGTGTGCCTGGAGTACTCTGTTCAGCTCTGGGGCACCAACACAAGAGGGACGTGGAGCTGTTGGAGTGAGTCCAGAGGAGGCCCTGGAGATGCTGCAAGGGCTGGAGCAGCTCTGCTCTGAAGCCAGGCAGAGAGGGCTGGGCTGGGTCAGCCTGGAAGAGAAGACTCCTTAAGGGGAGACCTTAGAGCAGCTCCAGTGCCTACAGGGGCTACAGGAAACCTGGAGAGGGGCTTTGGACTCAATTATATTGTATATAAGTATAGTAACTAATGAACTGATCAGTACTGACATAGCAATTGTGCTTAGGGAATTTAGTTTGCCATGTAATTGTGTAGCCTTATGGTATGGGGTGTTGTGTGTTTTGGGATTTTGTTAATTTTGTTTTTCTTTTGACTAGTACATCTAAGCTGGTCAGTCCTGGCCAGTAATAATTGCTCCACATGAGAGCTGCTGTATTTGCAAAGGAATGGAGCTAGGAGGTGGGTAAGGAAGAGTGCAGACAAGTTAGTTAAGTATAAGTTCACAAACCTGTGCTTGTGTGTGCCCAGCAGAGGTCTTGTATGCAGATAGGGACCAGTGTTTTTTGAAGTAGGGGGTAAGATCTAATAATCAAGTAAAGGACTGGCGCTGTTGACACTCTGGTGATGTGCTTCATGGTGAGAGAGAAAACTGAGGCAGACTTGTTACATGTGTTGCCTTACAGGAAGAGGAGCAAAAGCTCTTGCTGGTGGTGCTAGAAATGCTGAGTTCAAAGGTAAAGCCATTACCTAAAAAGAAATTCACAGAGAATTTTTTGTTTCTAATCGATTTAAGATCACTGAAGAAAGAAATGTATTAATGGCTTGGACACATGATGGTTGTTTTGAGTGTTACTGGTGATGAAGACAGTTAAGTTGGTGCGTGTCTGCTGATGAAATGCAGACTATGAAATGTGTTAGTAGCTCCGTTACTGGTGAATTGACAGCAGCAGGAATACTGAAGTTTTCCTTCAACATAAGTGACATGTGAGACTACCACAACTGTAATAATGTAGTGTTGTTTCTTTTCTTGTGTTAATAATGCTTTCATGCCCTGCAGGAGTGTATATTCTGACAGAGCACTGTGCATTGGGTCATAGTGGGTTGTTTCTCTGGGACTGTAGTCAGCCTGATGTTAACTTTACAATTATATTTTCCCCCCCCTTTTTTTTTATTGACTTATTTTTGAAGCCTGTGCCATCCAGGACCTTGCCCTTCTTGCCCAGCCTTTGTGACAAAAACATGTGAATGTGGACAAACAAGGTGAGAATGCTTCTGTTATAAACCCAGCTTATATAAGAATAGTTTCGTAGTTTATGTAATAAGATTTTTCCTTCTTATTGTTTATTACAAGTTTACAGAACAAAGTTTCTTCTAAGCTGTGACTTTTATTTGTGCACTAAAATAATTTGAAGAATTTTATATTTAAAAACTGAAACAAATTTTAGTATTATAAGAAAAAATAATTGAAAGTTATCCGTGTTAACATCAGTTTATGGTATGTGTAGCTGAATTGCCCAAGCAGTCTCAGGGTTGATTTGGTTTTAAAATCCCATTCTAGTGTTTATTCTGTTTTATAGAAGACATAGAAGTGGGAAAAGGTTCCCACCTTTTCTGTCTGAATGGAATGTAATGTTGAGCTATTCCTTTCCAGAAATAATAATTCCAAAACTGATGTGTACATTTCTGAGAAGCTGTACCACTAACGAGATGTCTGTAATATATTACAGAACTCATTGTGTGTCACTGCCAACAGCAAGACTGTACTGCCCATGCTACCTGTGATCTCTCATGTTCAGCTCAGAGTCTTCTGAGTCCCTATTCTAGTTACCTAGGACTGATGGTGTGTAATAAAATGCTTGCCTGGGCTTGTTTCCACATCCAGATCTAACCAAACCTGATTTTGGTGTTAGCATTCTTGCTCTCGAAAGAAAGGTTTTCAGACTTTCACACTTACTTCTGAAAGCTTGAATGTAATGTTAAGGGATCTTAATTATTCAAAAGGAGGTACAGCTATGTCAGTGGTAGTACATGTACTTGAGAGCACTGTGTCTTCAGTAGAAAAATGGTTTGGTTGTAGAGACTAAGAGTTGGGGTTGTTTGGTCTAGAGAAGACTCCAGGGAGACCTTATTGTGGCCTTTTGGTACTTAAAAAGGGCTTTTAAGAAGGATGGGGAGGACTTGGTAGCAGGGCTTCATGCGACAAGGGGTGATGGTTTCAAACTAAAATAGGGAGATTCAGCTGGACATGAAGAAGAAATTCTTTACAATGAAGGTGGTAAAACACTGGCACAGTTTGCTCAGAGAGGTGGTGGATGCCCCATCCCTGGAGACATTCAGGCCAGGCTGGATGTGGTTCTGGGCAGCCTGATCTAGTTGAAGATGTCCCTGCTCATTGCAGGGGGTTGGACTGGATAAGCTTTGAAGGTCCCTTCCAACCGAAACCATTTGATGATTACTTACTCTATGCAGTAAGGTCACCATTCTTTTATGCTAACTAATCCTTGGTTTAGAAATTTAATAGATGCAACCAGCTTTCTAGTTTTTTTTTTTCCCAGGTGGCAGCTGCTTTCACCAGATCACTGATTTTTTGTAATACTACGTTTAAAGTTGCTTCTAAATAGCATTTTATCTGTGCCTTGTTAACATCCAAGATGTATGATACAGCATCTCTGAATTTATAAGATGCTTTAAATATACGTTTGAAATAGTGACTTTGACAGCCATTGTATGGTGCCAGCCAGAATGAAAAATCAAAAGGTATTTTCCTTTTTAATAAACGTTCTCTAGGTATTAAGGTAGCTGACAGATTATGGTGTCATTTCTCTACAGTCATTCAGTTCGCTGTGGCCAGTCAACAAAAATCCATTGTTCTAATGTCTGTGGAAATACTTTAAACTGTGGTAAGCACAGCTGTACTCAAGTGTGCCATGCTGGAAAATGTTCACCTTGCCAATTAACGGTACAACAAGGTAAGTATTGGGATGCCTTGTGTATATCTACTTTATATACTATGAAAACAAGAGCGTGGAAAAAGAACCCCAAACAAACCAGTACCAAGAAACAGGTGCTTTATTCTTACCTAACACACCCCAAATCTACTGCTAGAGTATTTAGAAAATGCTTAATATGTCAGCATCAGTATGTATTTAAAGAAGAATATAAACATGACTAGAAAGAATCCAGTAAAGATGGTGAGGCTGTTGGATCATGTGCCCTATTGCAACAGGCTGCTGGTACTGGACTTCGTTAGCTTGCAAGGGCTGAATAGTGGCTTTTCAGTAGGCAATAGGAGCTAATCAGGAAGACACAAACAGGCTCTATATGGAGAGAGGGTGAGAGACAAGGAGGCTTAAGTTGAAACATTATAATGAGCTATAAGGAAAAACTCTTTTCTTGGGAACTTGGAGATTTTCAAGACCCAGCTGAATAAAACACAGTAATATGCTCTCATCTTGTTGCTGACTCTGCTTTCAGCAAGGGCTTGGACTAGCTGGTCCCGAGAGCCCTTCTGACCTGAATTGTCCTATGAGCCTGTTTAATCTTTTACTAAAATTCTGAAGACTTGATTAAACAGTACATGGAAGAAGAATATTGCTTTAATAAGTAAGCTTTTTCATGCAGGTAGTACTTCCCCTTTAGTTTTTATCTCCTTATCAAAACAAATAAAACATGAATTCCTGCTTCTGTAGGACTGAGAAGCCTTTATTGCTGAGATAAATCTAAAGAATACCAGCTTAATTATCTTTCTAAAAACTGACTAATAATTTTTCACAGTGACCTTTTTATATTCACTGTAGTGCTGGAGGTGTTCTGTCACTGATATTCTCTTTCTCACTTTCTGTGAAATAACATCTTTTTTCAGTGTGTTACTGTGGAAACAACTTTAAGGACGTATTGTGTGGGACGAAGGAAGAGTTCTCTGATGGATTTGGGAATTTCTCATGTCAGAATATATGTGGCAAGTAAGGTCACTATAATTTAGGCTTTTGGAATGAGAAGGTTATTTTATTCACGCTGTGTGATCATGATACCCTCAGATAACCTGCCTTTTCTTCTTCTTTCTTTTCCCCAGAAAACTAAATTGTGGGAGGCACAATTGCACACAAGTGTGCCATCCTCAGCCTTGCCAACTCTGTCCACGGCTTCCACAAGTAGTGTATCGCTGTCCCTGCGGTCAGACTCCTCTCAGCAAGTTACTGGAACTAGGATGTGTTGAACGTAAAATCTGCACAGACCCTATCCCCTCATGTGGAAAAACATGTGGCAAACCTCTTCCTTGTGGTAGCTATGGTAATGAGAACTTCCTGCTTCAGAATATTCAAATTACCTCATCATTTAAAAAAAGGAAGAAAAAAAAGTAGTCCTTCACTGTTTCATTTGGTACTGGACTTGGATGTTTGATCAGTAGCTTTTGGTTTTAACCAAACTGAGGGTAAAAGCCACTTCAGAGCCTGCAGTCTGGCTGTTCGTAATGATCAGGAAATACATGTGTCTAGAAAGCACTAACACTAGCTAGCCTTGTAAATTTTGTGTACATGTACCTTTCCTATATTGGTAGAAGAATAAAGCTGAAGGTATTTCCAGAGAGTAGTAGTAATGTCTTCTAAAAGCTCACCTAGATCTTTCGACAGACATGTGGAGACTAGGAGAGATAAATGACTTTGTTCACATGCCTCCAGTAAATACTCATTTCCTGCTGCTGTAGGAGCATTAAGGACTAAAAAGTAGCATTGGAAAGTTGGAGAAGGTTATGTGCGGAAGCAATGCAACACTTCAGTGGGTGCATTAGGTAACTCAAGTGTATTTAACTTTGTGAAGCTTCAGTTTCACAGGCTATTTAACTGTTATTTATTAGGCTTCAGAAAGGAGTGAGACCAGTGCTGTCAAGGTGAGAGCTTCTTTTTGAAAGGTTGATCTATTCTCTCAGTCCAAAGACTTAGCTTTCAGTTGAATTTCAGTTAACCTAGTAAGTGAAAGTGTGCATAAGAAGTCATTCTTCTAAGCTGAAAAGGAATTAAAAAATGCCTTAAAACTCCTGGATTTAATCCTGGATTCTGTGATTTAAAAGGTGAAAATAACAACAAAATTTTATGCACATTTAACTCAAAGTAATTAATTGTTTGGAAACCCAGCTGCACGTAAGCTCGGTGTCTTTGACCAATGATACTTACGGTGAATGTGAAGTTCCAGGTCATTCATTTTCTTTTGTTACTAATTGTTAATCTTTGTATTTTCATTTTGGTAGAGTTCATTCACACGTGTGAAAGCCTTTGCCATGAAGGAGAGTGTAGACCTTGTTCTCGCACATCAAATATTTATTGTAGGTGTGGCTTCAAAAAGAAGGTGAGTATATAAAGCTGGACCATGGCTACACATAATCTTTGTTGGCTCTTAAAGCTGGGGAGAAAAAGGAGATGGAAGTTGAAGAGAAGAAAGCTAAGAAGTGCCGTGCTCCTTAGTTACAAGGTCTTCCATTGTATACTAACTGATAGATGCTAACTAGATCACACTGTGAAGTGCTAACATAGGTCACTTACCATGAAGGCAATTTTTGGAAGCATTTTTGCAGTGTGTAAACAGAATTCTGTTTAGGCTGGCTATAAAATCCTGTGTTGAATCCTGTAATATTTATGTAGCACAAAGAATGGTAGTTTTACCAACGGTGATGTAAACTGAGAGAAGAAAGGGAGCCTAACATAAAAAGCTAACGAAAACTATAGTAATAGGTTGCAGGTTTGTTGTGGAATTTTTTGGAGGGAGTATGGAGTTTTTACTGGTCCTTATTCTTCATACATTTCTATAGGGACCCAGCAAATTCTCAGCAGTTGTCATATAGTAATTAGTACATTTTTATATACTAATTTCTGTAATCACAACTTTGAAATCTTTGACTGCTATCACAGGAGCCTTGATGACTTCTCTGACTTGTTATATACCTATAGGTAGAGATGTCTTCTGAATATAAAAGTCTGTAAGTACATAGACTGAGGCTTTGCTAGAGGTTGGAACAGTTTTCTGCAAGTTTGCTGAAGGTAGTTATGGGGTAGAAGGCTTCAGATTATCTTTCGTTTTGAGGCCTGAAACTAGGTAGTGAGGTTTAGGTCTTAATTCATGCAGCTTCTCAGAAGCGTATGAGTGAACTACAATGATAACTTAAACTGGTCATGAAAAATGTGATGCCTAGAAAAGACAACTCGGAATGTCAGGTTGTGATGATTGAAGATTCAAATGTAGTCAATCAACAATGTTCTTTTCATCTTTCACCTTTTATTTTCATGTTGAAGTCTTTATATAAAATTTCTTCGATCATGAGATTTGACTTCACTCTCTTTGGTCTTTAAATCAAGTCAGACTTGCATTTTTGGAGCAGTTGGTTAAATTGCACACTCCCTATTCTCTAGGAGAGCTCTTGTGGTTTCTTAGGACAAACCTGGTTTTGTGACTTCACAGCTTTATCTGCTGAATTAGCTGGGCAGTATAGAATACATTTTTTTGGTTTTGTTTTTTTTTTAATTTCCATTGAATCTCTAAGAGAAAGTTTTGTGTTAAAAGATTTGAGGGTTTTTTTTCCAGCTTTTATTTCAGTTTTGCATACAAAAGCGTTATACACCTGAAAACTGAGAGTGCTGCTTCTTCATGTGACTGTTTTCTAAATAAGTTTGTTGTTTCATCTGTTTTAACCTAATGGCTCCCTGTTTATTTCCTAGGAAGTCCCATGTGCTCTGCTGAGAAATAAAGGTACGGTGTTACATTACATATATGCAATGTGAAATTGTTTTTAAACTGATGCACAGCTCATGGTAATTCTGGGTTTGATTGATGACTTTGGCAAACGGCTGATCAGTACTGCTTCTTTTATCCATACTTCTGTGACAAGTTGGTAATTTCTTGAAATGCTGCTACTTTTGGGGAAGAGGTTTGAATTGAACCTCTTTCATTTCTATCCATCTTTTACACAAGGGAAGACTTATTCAGCATTCGAGCTCAAAAGTTCCAGACAAGCTGTTTATTTTGATTGAACAGTTTCTTATGCTGCCTGCCATGCTCACTAGGTTGCCCTCTCCATCCTGCGTGTCTCGTGGCTCATGCAAACGCAACTCATGCAAAGTAATGCTTTTGCTTTGCTCATGTCCAGGTTGCTGGGGAAATACAAGCTTTGCTTCTGCTTCACAGTTGCATGCTGCTGATCTTTGTATCTGGGCTTGGCAGTGTGTTGCCGTTTGACACTTCTTGGTATTCTGGGTGTAGCAACTCAGAATTTGACTCAGTGAAATGTTTACTTGATGGACCCCCGTCATACTGAGTTTCTTATTTACAAGATACACAAGGAAGCAATATATGTACTTCTTAATTTGAGCTTTTGCCTGTGAAGCATTTACTCTTCAGAATCCAAAAGTGATTGCCTTTGTTACCTGTGGATAAGGATGTTCTTTGTTAGCACTAGTTTCGTGAGCCTATCAGGAGTAATTGTGTTTAGTTGACTCTTAATGCCTTTCCAATTTGAGCAGTTATAAAATGGATGTTTGTGGTATTCTGATGTATCAGGTTATCCTATTTTGTGTTCTGTTTAGCGGAGTTTGTGATGTAAAGTCTAATGTGAAACCAATTAGTTTCCTATATTCTGCTCTCCAAAATCCTTTTGAACAAGTGTTTGTTTAAAGGAAGCCAAGCGTTCACATGGGGAATTAATGTGAGAGAGCAAGTAACTTACAAGTTTGCTTGCTCTATTAATCTCTTCTAGATCATGCTCTGCAACAGCCTCAGCATAATCATAGAATGGTTTGAGTTGGAAGGGACCTTAAAGCTCATCCAGTTCCAACCCCCTGCCACGAGCAGGGACATCTTCCACTAGAGCAGGTTGCTCCAAGCCCCTTCCAACCTGGCCTTGAGCACTGCCAGGGATGGGGCAGCCACAGCTTCTCTGGGCACCCTGTGCCAGTGCCTCAGCACCCTCACAGGGAAGAATTTCTTCTGTATAGCTAATCTAAACTTACCCTCTTTTTGCTTATTAAATAATCAAACGTTCATATTTCTCAATTTATATTGGTTCATATTTTTATTTATTATGATTTAATGAATATAGTGTAATTAATCATGTAATGTGATTGCAGCTGCTGTTCTCAGCACAATCAGAGATGTAAAAGTTGATTTTCTTTTTAATAGCTGCTATTACGTTCATGTGTGACAAGCGATGCAACAAGAAAAGGTCATGTGGCCGACACAAGTGTAATGAAGTTTGCTGTGTGGTAAGTTTACGTGTGGCTTTATAAAGCTGTTCATTGTGATGTGTGTTTGTTTTTGGTTGTGATGTTAGACTTTTTGATTTTGTATCTTTCCATTTTTGTGCATCCTCAGTCTCTATTTGCAGTATTGGTCATCCTCAGAAAGCTTGTGTGTGTGCGTTTATTTTGCAGTATGTGTTTTGTGGGCATAGGTATAAATGTAAAACCATATTCCAGCCTAAATGCAAGTGAATCAGCGTAAAGGTGCTTTTTCTTAATGCAGTCATTCCAGGGAGGATGGGGAAGGAAAAGGTATTACTTAATGCAAGAAGTACAAGCTATGATGTAGGTATGTCTGCAACAGAGGTCATACCAGAATCCACTTTTTGAATTGTGTATCTTTAGAGTGATGGAAAAACTCTATAGATTAAGCCTAAGCTATTTTTGCACTACAGTTTTGCCAATTAGTAGGGTATGACCTTACAGAGAAAAATAAAGTAATGGCGTTTATAGTTTAATTCTGCTTTTTCTTTTTTGCCTTCCCCTAGGACACAGAACATAAGTGTTCTTTGGTTTGTGGTCGTAAACTCAACTGTGGGCTTCATAGATGTGAAGAACCTTGTCATCGGGGCAGTTGTCAAACATGCTGGCAAACGAGTGAGTTACATGCAAGTGTATGGTAGTTCTCATATATTACAGAAGTCTTTTCACTGACCTGGTCAGAGTAGGACATGAATGTGATCCAAATTGACCACAACCTGGAGAATATGCAGCTAACTTTGATTTTATGTTTTTTTTCATGAAAAAGAAAGTTATTTCATTTTGGATGAGTTAACGAAGTGGTTTTAATACTTGAAGTTGAATTACGATGAAATATATTGGTATGTATGTTGATCCAGCAGTCACTTATATTTGAGGAATCATGCAAGGAAAAAAAGCAGTTTAGAATTTTAAAGTTAAGGGAACTCTTGTTTAACAATGTGATATCTGTTAAAGGTATTGAAGTATGTAGCAGAATTTATTTAGCTGCTTAGATTTCAGACTTTCCCACTTGGTACACTAGTGATTTTTCTCTCTGGACAGGACCATCTGAAGAAATAAGAGTTATCAGTCATCAGTCATGTGTGTCTTAGGCTTTCTGATCACATTCTGGATGGTAAAAATTGGTACTAAATTGCTAGAAATAGATTGACAGGGAGCAGGTATTAATTTTCCTGCTAATTTATTTAAAGATTTAAGTTGGTGTAATAGCTTTAGACAGGTATGTACTGTATTAAAAATAAGGGGATCATGTATTGATTATTTTGCACCATTATAATAGGTAGATAATAATAAATTCTCTGATTTGGGCCTGGAGAAGACAGAAGAATGCTTCCTTCTGGTAGCAGAACCTTTAGTTGATTTGGAACATCTTCATGTGTGATAGCAGTTTAATTCTTTTATTCTTCAGTCTCCTAATGTAGCTTATCACTGAAATTATAAGCTATTTATTAAACATAATCTTTGAAAGTTGGGTAGGAAAAGCCCTTAATGGATGTATACTGCCTGAGACAACTTCCAAAGCATACAAAATTGGCCTTTGAAGTATTTGGACAGGCTCATAAGCTGCTTAGGAGGGCCCATGTAATAGTCTGTGACCAAGTATATGGAAGAAACTGTAGGAGGAAGTCTGCAAACTACTGTGCCTTCAGTTGTTTTCTCTGGAATCTTCCCAGCACCATCTGCAGGGCTTGGCAAATGATCAGATGGAACCACTGCTCTGAGAAAGTGATGGCAGGGGGAAGTTCAGAGTACAAGGTCTGGATGATGTGCTCGTTGGAAGGGAATTCAAGAGATACATTCCCATTTTTAAGTAAAGCATTGAACAGCAACAGCTTTCAACTTGACATGATCATTTGTCTTGCTCCAGTTCAAAATGTTGCTGTCAAACCACTCTCTAAAGGCAAGCATAATTCCTAATGAAGTGATGTTAATGAAGTTGTCTTGAGGAGCCACAAAAGCCAATAAATTCACTAGGATGGTGCTTAATTTAAAAAACCCTGAAGCTGGAGTAAACATTTGCATGTTATTTAAAGGCTTCTTGTAATGAAGTGCAAATACATGTAGCCACTTGGATATGTTTTGCTTGGGTTTTTTTCAGGTTTTGATGAGTTAACTTGTTATTGTGGAGAATCTGTGATTTACCCCCCTGTCCCCTGTGGCACTCAGCCACCAGAGTGTAAAAAAACATGCACCAGGCCACACGACTGTGATCACCCAGGTAAGTGAGGCCATCCAGTTTTGCGTGGGTTATTTCATTTCGTTGCTGGTTTTGTTTGTTTGGGGTTTGTTTTGTTTGAAATCCAAATGTACAGAAGCGTACATAGGTCTATTTAAAAATCTGTTTGTTTTTTCTTAGATGCTTTTTCTGTAGTTGTGAATGTTTCCAAAAGTCTATGTTTAAAAGCCAATCACGTAAATACTTGCCATGAATACTAGCAGTGGTACTTATGACTGGTAAAAGCACTGGATTTTTTTCTGACCATTATTAATAGTCATAGCACACTAAATGTTATATTCTGAAGATTAAGTGCTATTGCAACAGTGAGATAATCTAGTGAATGGTTAGTTTCTGTATTCCTTGGAATGAATTACTTTGCCTGATTGCAGATGATACAGCACGGGTCAAACAAATCTGTGTTCTGACAAATTTTGTCTTGATAGTATAACCCTGCTTAGAAGTCACAAAATTCTCTGCTATTTAATTTAGAAAATGTGGACTAATATTCACTTTAAAAACCTGCCATCATAGTTTTTAAAGAGTACTTTAAAGAACAGATTACCCTTGCATGAAGCATCATACTTCCCACAAATTTCTTGTTCTGAAATGCAAACTCCTGTTTAATAGTCTTTACTGTCTCCTTTAATGCCTTTGACTAAAATACGCTAATAAAACTGTGCTGGCCTTTATATTTCTGTGACTGTAGTGTACCATTCATGTCATAGTGAGGAGAAGTGTCCACCCTGTACCTATCTCACTCAGAAGTGGTGTATGGGCAAGCATGAAGTAAGTCTGGACTCTTAATGTTTTTGAATACTAAGTAATGTTCTGGGACTGTAGGGTTAGATTTTTTTTTGTGGCCTCCATGGAATGGGATATGTTACTGGAGCTTGAGTTTAATGTGATTGAATTAGAAAAGTACATCTTTTATGTGATACACATTCAGACCAACTGCTATATTGGACTATAACGTAAAGAAAACCTCGTTCTTTGTCTTAAGGTATTTTAGTAGCTCTTGCATGGACAGTGCCAAATGAAGGTGTGAACAGCAAAAGTACTTTGAGATCTGCATTTATAGTTTTTCCTTTTTAGTTGTCATCTGTTTCCTCTCCTCTTCCAGCTGCGCAGTAATATTCCATGTCATCTCACTGACATTTCGTGTGGCCTTCGCTGCAATCAAATGTTAAAATGCGGAATGCACAAATGTAAAAGAATCTGTCATAAAGGAGAATGCCTTATAGATGAAGAGTGTAGACAGCCGTGTATTATTCCAAGGCTATATTGTAATCATCCCTGTATGGCTCCGTGTCATCCGTCTTCACCCTGCCCGACAACATCCTGCTCTGCAAAGGTTAGATACCAAAAGAAAATGCAGAGGAAGCAAACTCACAGGAAAACTGTATGATCTCATTATCAGCCAGTAACAGTTGTGGCAAATGTTTGTGTATTGGTAGCATGACATTTTTTATGTGAAGTTACTGATTTAAAAAAAAAAAACCCAACCTATACATCACTTTAAGTTAGCCATTATTCCACTAAAATGGGACTTTTTCAAGGAACAAACTTGACCTCCCTTACACCCCACCATGGCTGTAAAAAGACCAAAGTTTAGAAAAGCTGCTCTCTTTTATGATGCACAGGTTGATCTTCAGTGTGAATGTGGAAGAAGAAAGGAGAGTATGATTTGCTCAGAAGCCTCTAGTACATATCAAAGGTTTGTACTGCAGTAATTCTTTTAATTCCTTTCTGGTTTTACTTCTTTGCAGTTTGATTAAATGTTACGCTTGACTAAATGTATTTGATTCGTAGGCATTTTCACACTTTTTTCTACTTTGATGTATGGATTTTCTTTTGTATTCTCCTGAGCTTTCATACCAGCTATGCTGTACTAGGACACATTCCTCACTTCACTGTTGTTAGTCTAACTGTGCCAGTGTGTCAGAGCTCGAATCTCCCATCTATGTAACTCTGCTCTACCCACATTCAGCAATTAGATACAGACTAATTGGGCAGGTCCAGACTCAGGTGCAGGTGATTCTGAGTGCAGGTAATTACATATAGCAGTCCATGTGCGAGTTCCCTTAATGTGTGATGGAATTTAGTCAAAACAGGTGATGAAACGTAAGAGTGATTTAAAGTCATTGTAAAATAGCTAAATTCAGGCATCAAAGCTTTGGTCCTAATATGCAGACTAAGTTCTACCTAATTCCATTCCTGTCTCCAGATTCTATTTCTAAACTTCTTTCTTTGTCTCTCTTACAAGAGAGGACAAGAAAGGGACAAGAAAAAGAAGTAGGGCTTTGGAAATGAAAATAGCAAAACAGTATTCATAATATTTTTTTTAAAAACAACCTTACTCTGAGGCTGTGATTGATAGGGAGTCAAAAAGTTAAGCTAGAGTTGAAGAAGTTCATCCCTGTGAGGGTGCTGAGGCGCTGGCACAGGTTGCCCAGAGAAGTGGTGAATGCTCCATCCCTGGGAGTGTTCAAGGCCAGGTTGGACAGAGCCTTGGGCGACATGATCTGGTGTGAGGTGTCCCTGCCCGTGGGAGGGGGTTGGAACTGGATGATCTTAAGGTCCTTTCCAACCCAAACCATTTGGTGATTCTATGATATTGTCATGGGTTCACCCCAGCCAGCAGCTAAGTACCGTGCAGCTGTTCATTCACTGTCCTCGCCAGCGTTCCAGTGGGATGGGGAGGAGAATCAGGAAAAGGTAAAACCTGTGGGTTGAGATAAGAACAGCTTAATAATTGAAATAAAGTAAAATAATAATTGTAGTGGAAGAGAGAAAACAAAAAGAGAGGAATAAATCCAAAGAAATACAAGTGATGCACAACACAGTTGCTTACCACCCACTTAACAATACCCAGCCTGACCCTGAGCAGTGATGGGCCCCTTCCAGCCAACTCCCCCCAGTTTCTGTACTGGGCATGATGTGCTGTGGTGTGGAATACCCTTTTGGCTAGTTTGGATCATGGGTCCTGTCTCTGGTCCCTCCTGGCTTCTTGTGCCACTCCTCACTGGCAGAGCATGGGACTGAAAAGTCCTTGATCAGGGTAAGTGCTACTGAGCAACAACTAAACCATGAGTGTGTTTGAAAACCCAGCTGCATGTTCTCAGACTAAAGCCCAAACACAGCACTGCACCAGGTACTAGGGTGAAAAGTTAACTCTATCCCAGCTGAACACATATTCAACCAGAGTTCTGCTCTGCATCCCAGTTGATAGGAGAGCACAGTCATAGATTCTGTCATTTAAAGAAAGCTTCTTAATGTTTGATTTATTTGGAAATGCTGTTTGAGGGCGTGATGCTAGCCCAGTTTAGGATGTGCTGCTTTGTTCCTACTGAGTGCTGCCCAGATTCAAATTCTGTCAGAAGATGGCTTAGCATTGACATAATAGGTGCTTAATATTACCTAATGAAAATGAGGAGAGAAATGTGCTAACCAGAAACAGTTAATAACAATTTTAGTCAAAGTTAAATGCAAGACGGACGTAATGGGAGTTGTGATCAGTGTTTCTTCTTTAGAAGAAAGGGTTCTATTGCACTATGAATACAAATCAGAAGACTGACTCAGCTTTGAAATACCAGTTTAAACTGACATTATTTGCTCATCATTAATGATAAGCTGGGAAGGTAACATACTTACACGTCCAAATTCTTGAAAGCTGTTATTTCTCCACTATTTGTATGGCTCTGTTATAGAAACAGGCACTGCAAAAGTATTCACGTAAGGAAAATAGTTCTTTGAAGTCAGTGAGAGTCTTTGCATGCATAAGCTGAACACATATGTACATACCTGTTCAGAGCCCAAGTCAAGAAACAATCAGTTTAGAGCAAGTGTTTGCTGGTTCAAATGGGTTCATGCTTGTCTACAAACTACTCTTGGCCCATGTGATAGCAACAAAAGCAGCATTTAATGCCAGCTAAGGTTGTATGGTAACTGCAACTGTTAATGTGGCTGAAAGATTAAAATATTCTGGTTTCATGGAGTTAGGTTTGGCTTCTTCCCCACCATCTATGCATGTGGGGAGAGAATCTGGTAAATCTGAAGCCTGTGTCCCTCTCAGTGTTCTTTGGGTTTATGCAATGTGATAGATGATGAGTTCTCAGTTTGTGAAGTAAAACATAGAGACAAACATATCCTTTAATCTGAATTCAACAGAAAAGATCATTAAAAGGACTGAATGTTCCATTTTCAGGATTTTGCTTGAGAATGGTGTGGGATATTTCACTAAAAACTTAATGTCTATTTTAGTTACAGAAAGTTTAGCAAGCAAATCAGACTGGGAAGGCTTGTTATTGAAGGGAATGATGAATCTTTATCAAGAAAATATTAACAGTTTCAGTAGGGATTTTGCTCTTTCCTTATGGCTTAACTAATCCATATTTTCTAAGCAAATTTCGAAGTACTTTATAAATTCACTTTATAGCTTTTAGTTACACACAATTAAGGAAGGATCACTTAAAGGTTAAAAAAGCAATTAAAGCTGTACAGTCAGCTGCAGTTTGCATGTTAAGCAGGTGAGAAGAGAAAGTATTCACACTGCCTGGTTTAGACCTGCTTAGAATTGATGCTCCGAAAAAATCCCTGAAGTATGTCTTGCTCCTGGTTGCTTGAGGGAGATTAAGACAGAGTAGCTTCTTAAGTTATGCAGCTAAAACTAGGTGATGTGGAACTAGAGTCTCCCATTCTGTAATGTGATGAGTAAACAGCCTGTCCTCCTCCACCTGGAGGTTTAAATCTGCAGCTTTATAAACCTTTTGAAGGGTTTATGTGTTGCCTCAAATGAAATCTGATGCTCTTCTTTTTCAGAATAGCTGCTATTTCTATAGCCACTAAGTTAACAGATCTACAGCTTGGAGATTCAGTGGAAATCAGCAGGCTTATTACGAAAAAAGAAATGAAGCAGGCCAGGTAAGGAGATCAATGTAGAAACATGTTTCAAATCCTTGTGTATACCTGAATCACAAGAAGTGTGGAAAATACATAATACTGTGAGCAAAATCCCAGCTAAAATAGAAAGACTTTAAATAGCCTGGCTCTGCTGTGACAATACTGCTAAAAGAGTATTATGCAGTTCCTTAGCGGTTCAGATTTTTGCTTTTATGTAGAATAAGATCTCTGTTATCGGCTGTTTTGTTGCTGTAATTGTATATGGAACAACAGAATTGTGGTTTGAGTTTCTTTCTACCCAGCAAACTCTGAAGTTCCTCTGGACTTCTATCTTTTTGCTGTTATCTTCGATTTCAACATCCAGCATTCCATCCTGAATAATTAATAGCCAGTGTTTTCCCCTGGTCATCATCTTACCATTTGTAATATTTTTCTATTACTCTTTTTATATTTCTTGCATTAGAATCTCAATTTGATTGGCATTTCTGTGTTTTAGTAGTAGCTTGCAAGTGCAAATCTGCTTTTAAGTCACAAAACCACCTGTGACTTAAGTTTGGTGATTTTCTGTTCCTCCTGATATCCCTCAGGGTTGGAATCACTTGTCTTTACTTCTAGTATCAATTCTGTAAGAATCTCCAACACCCTTCTGTCAGAAACTTGACTCCCTGAAGTCTTCTGCCTCGAAGTCCCTATATTTCTGGATTTAGTTTATTTCTGGTACCACCTCTCCTTTCTTAATAGTGAATTTGATTATTTCAATGTGTTTAAAATCTCATGTTCCTTTATATTATGTAATGTCAAAATAGTGAAATTTTCCTATGCAGTTGCTTCATTGCTTCCTGTATCCAAAGCTGATACCAGCATATTTTGGCTAGTCAGTCTGTTCTGTTTATTTGTTTAATGTCTATGAAATGGGAGCACATTTATTACCAAGTCTTTTTGGGTAATTATCTACACTGAAATAATTTTAACTCTGAATGTAAGGGCAAGGTGAACTAGTATCAGAAAGGATGGAAATGTCATAGCAGCTATATACTTGCCAGGACTGCGAATAAGACAACAGTGTCTCTATTGCTGTCCTAGCCTTTTCAATATGTAATGTAAATGGTGCTGTAGTCACTGCCACACGTTTGTGTGGCCAGACTTACACTGCCCTTTCTTTGCATAGTTGAAATCACCAGATTACTTTTTCTTGGTGCAAATCTTTTTTAGCTTATTGTCAGGCTCCCTTATCTTCAAAGTAACTTACAGTTCTGCTTTATTAATTTACAATAGCAGAATATTTTATGCAAGCTGTGCAGAGATTTCTTTTCTGTCTCTGTCTTGTTCCGGAGGATACCATATTTGTTTAGACCTAGAGTAGCTTCTCGAAGTTGGTGCATTCCTTTTCTAAAGGAGGAGAGTATGATTCTTCAAGCAAATGACTTTAAACAGTGCCAGGTTGATCTTAGAGTGCAAAGTATGTTAGCTTTTTTTCTGCCTCCACCAGAAGTTGTGGATCCCATAGCTGTAGGTCTCCAAACATAATGCATACCACTGAATGAACCAGTTTCCCCTGTAGAAAAGAATTGTTTGAAGTCAAGTAACTGTTATCAACAGAATTATTTTAATCTCTGGCATTTTAATCCCTTAAAATTATGAAATACTTGACAAAGATGAAGTTCAGAAAAGTTAAATTTGTAACGCTATTGACACTAGAAGTTATGGGCTTCATTGAAATACTGATTTTTATGGTGCATCATAATCCTCCATATGTATAGCTAACTTTCCTGGTTTTCCTGGTTGATGCATAGAACTGTCACAGCTTACTCTGTTGGTATCCCATCCTTCCTAGAATCCCCTTGATGCTGATACCAACTGCATTTGTTTTCTCAAATGATCTAATTTACCAATATAATCCAATTCATAAGCTGTTTTTCTCAACTTTGGTATGGAGTTGGTGACTGCTGCTTCTATTCAAGACCTGGAGAAGGGCTTGTGTGCTCAAAGATCTTTGTGGTTTGTTTATTTAGCTGTATTATCTGATCTAATACAATAAACTATTCTCACACACTCTTCCTACTTCTTTAGGCTGTCATAACAATATGATACCAGCAAAGCTATAGTTTGAAAAGTGTGAGTAGCAGCAGTGATTCTAGTTGTATTTTTCTTTCTTAATTCAGGTTGCAATGTGATGAAGAGTGCTTAGCTCTGCAGAGAAACAGGTGGGCACTAAACTTGCTTTTTTTCCTGTTCAAAATTTCATGTTCAGAAACTTAATGCTATGGACAAAAACCCTTTTCCTGCATGACCTAGACAACTGATAAATGTGAAGTTGGTCCTGATCTATAATGAGTGATCTGAGATCTTACAAGAGTATTCTAGTGAAAAGTACTAAATGTGTAGTTTCAAATGTACAGACTGCATCTTCTGTGAGTTGTTCCATCTGTATTAGTAACCCTTTTCTTTACCCTTCAGTGACAACCTGTTTGGGAGGCTGGGAGGATTTGTGGGTTTATTTTGTTTGCTTGTGGTTTTGTTACATTTTGTTTTTTCCTCCCTGCCCTTAAACTTAGGCGTCTTGCTGAGGCTCTTGAAATAGATGATAATTCGGATCCTTTTAATATCCGTTCTCCTGGACCAAAGTACAGTGAACTTCTAAAAGAAGATGCAAGGTATGTGTTCTAATGCTGCCAGGTATCAATGTTGAGAGCAAGATGGGAAATGCAGAACAGTTCCATTTACTCTTGTAAAAATGCCCATGTTTTACTCTCCAGCCATGGCAGTTGGTGATAATTGAGGCAAAAGAGTTGATGCATACATCTTGAGACCTCCCAAATGAGAACATGAGAAGTAACAAATGCCTGACAGGTTGCTTTGTTCTGTAGTAGGACCAGATTTAGAATGGGAACATCATTTTTCACCATTCTTCTCGCTACAAATCAGGACCTGTATGTCTCGTGCCTCTACTGCTTTCATATGCAACCAACCCTATATGTGTGCTCCTTGTTATCTTTTCAAGAGAAAGACTGAAGTGATAGCTAAGTAATGAAACATGCTCCCATAGCCTGAAATTATTGAAATTATTTCCCTCCATCAATTTTTTTTTCCTTACTGCCTTTAATTTTAAAAATAAAGAAATGGAATTAATAAAACACTGGATTGACACAGAGCTAAGCCTGTGCCAGCACTGACAGCAAAGAGGGCTGCTAGGCTGAAACACCTGAAAATGAGGCAATAAAAAGTCAAGGTAGTATCAAAAGCATTACACTAATAAATACTCTGCAATTTGGAATGATAATTAATTTGCTGATGTGTTGAGACAAGTGAAAATTTTACATAAGCAGCCACACAGGATGTAAATCAAGCAACCTAAACGTCCTAGTGCAGAACCAGAGACAAGTACAGGTGAGAAATAAGCAGATCTGACTGTCCCACATATCTAATCGGGACCATCCAGTGAGGACCAGTGAACTGCAGGATTTCTCTTCTCTTTGGTTTATCTTCTTGTAAAACGATTACAATGGGATTCATTTTCTTCTGCCACCACCAACACAACCTTCACCCGCATCCCTTGCATACTGTGCTTTCTGTTTTGTCTTCCTGTTTGAGTACTTCAGTCTTGACTATCTTATGATTTCTCTAAGACACATTCTGAGTGTTTCTGACAGACATTCTGGTTGACTTCACGGGTGGCTTTGAACTGATAACTCTGGTTTTGTATTTTTGAGCACTTCCAGGGAAGTGATGGAATCACCATCCCTGGAATCACCTTAGTGATGGCCTTTGCAGAGCTGGAGCAAAGGTTGGACTTGAGGATCTTAAAGGTCTTTTCCAACCTGCTTGATTCTGTGATTCTGTAGGTTCCTGAAGGGATGTTTGTTTTTGAACATATCCCCCAGTCTGTGAGCTGGTTCCTCAGTCGGTCTTTAAATATAACACATCAGGTGCTTGTGGACCCTTTGGTTGTTGGTTCCATATTTTTGTTTTCTTACCTCCTGTGGTCACTTCACCTTGAAATTTGGGTGTTCATGGCTGGCATTCCATGTAGCATTTGCTTTCTGACTCTCTGGAGTTAAGCTCATCCTAAAGGGATCAGTGGGTTTGGTGGTTGTTGTGGTTTGGTTTTGGGGTTATTGCTGCAATATTCTTTCCAAAGCCTCCTGGGCTGTTTCTGTATTTCACAGCTGAGATGTCCAGAGGCCTCTTTTTTCTTAACTCTACAAGTCCAGGTCCTTTTTGCATTTCTCCCAATGTAGTACTTTTCTCCACTGAAAGTCTGGGAGTTCTGATGATGGATGGACATCCACTATGGTTCATCCTATAATGGTCCCTCAATTGTTACAATACCTTGAAGGCTTTCCAGTGATGGGCTGAGTGCCACTAAACCAGTGATCAGATGATGTTGGTAGCCAAACTACTCGATGTTGCCATTTTGCATGTTTCCTTGACACCACTTGATCAGCATCCAGAGCTTTAGTAGGGCATCTACCAAAGATGATGGTGCCTGCTTTAGTAGGCACTTCTTGACTGATGAAATTCTGACATCATTCACAAAGTGGTGTTGTGTTGGTATGGAATGATGCCTGGTTTTGAAGAAATAAGGTTTACTGCTAACCAGCTTTGAGATGTGGAATATTGAGGTAGCCTTTTTTCCCTGTGGGGATGGTGCCCTACCAGATAACAACCTTACCTTTGGAGCTAGCTTACCTGCTTATTTAAGAGCAGAGTGCAAATATTACCTTTATGTGAAAACTTGACTTACTGTGATTAAGCAAGATAGAACAAAATCCTTTCTATCTCATATCAAGAACATTTTCTTTGCTTGCAAGTAGCCTTATGCTGCTGCTTCTTACTAATTAGTTATGCTGGACAAGTAGGCCACCAAAGTCAGTGCGGTTTTCCTTTGTCTTGGAAAAGAACTCTAATCTGTTTATCCAATCCCTATTTTTGTGTTTAATCATGTATTCTAATTAAGTGAATTGCCTGAATGACAAGTAATTTACAAACCGCTGAAATAGCAACTTTAAAATCTATATTATCCATTTTAAAATGCAGACTTGTGTTGTCAGTAGAATTGTATCATAGACTTTTATGCTGTGCTCTAAGGGTTGAAGGAAAAAGAATTGTTATTTTTTTAATAGCAATGACATACTAACCTTTTTGAAGTGTAAATAGTGTAATAAATCAAATGCTTCTGCTTCAGTTGAGACCTTAAATGTTGTTCTTGTTGAAAATGATGTAACAAAAGATGAAGATGTTGTATCTTTGTGCACTCTTACCTCATTTACCTAGAATACTGGTTTTGCAGGAAGGATTTGAAGTTTGTCAGTGACGTTGAGAAGGAAATGAGAATGCTTGTGGAAGCTGTGAATAAGGTCAGTATGCAGATATTCTGTATGACCTGTTGTAAGAAACAGGTTTGTTTAATTCAGGGGGCTGGGGGGGAGTTTAATGTTACTAAACTTTATGAATATTAATAGTTATGAGTTGACACTGAATCTGTTTAAGCTCCAATAGAGTACACAGTTACAAATAGAACAAAATTTTTGGGAGATGTAGTAATTCAGGATAACTCTGGTGACAGCCAGGCTTTGTTTGAAGATTCAATCAGTGCTAGGCTTTAATGTATCAATGATTCTCATTAATTTTTGGATGTCTGTTAGTCAAGTGTTAATCATTGAAGATGATGTTTAAAGTGTCAGACTTTGAGGAGGAAAGCCTAGATGGTTCTGATTCCTGTAATGGAGCTGGCTCACAAATTTATGTATACCTCCCTGCATTTGCCAGTGTGTGAGGGAGTCCTTTAAGGAGATTCAGATTCAGCCACAGTTGTTTGGCAGACTCCAGTATGCCAAAACAGAATCATTTGTTTTTCTAGCGAAAGCAGAATTCCACCTTGAGGCCTGTCAGGTGAGCATAGTCCTGGCTTGCTGCTGCACTGTGCCTGACCCCGTATATGTGTTTCAAAGGGCAGTATAAACCGTGCTACTCTCAGTTGCCCTTAGCTCAAGAAAGAGTACACTTCATGTAGAAAGCAATAATTTCCTTCCCTCTACCCTGAGGACAGTTACATAACTTTATTCCTTCTTTTTTATGTGTGATGTTTTCTTAAACAATCTTTGTGCTTGTTCACCTGTTTCATGTTCTTGCCTGTTGTTTTCACATTGGAATTAAAGTCTTAAAGGGGGTCATCTGTGTATAATTTTATTCAGGCCCCTTCAACCTCAGGCATCTAGTAACAGATGCATAGAACAGTTGTTACTACCTAAAGATAATTTCCCCAGTGTTGTGTTGCCTGTGGTTATCCTATTTTACATACACCTTTATTATACACACATGTACACAAGTATGTACATACAGAGATATTTCTCTATATATAACTGTGTATACCAATGCATATGCCCGTGCAAATATCAAACCAATAGATGTACTGTATATTAAAGAAAGGGCAGCCACACGTCTAGAACTTGCCATATACAGTAAATTAGTGACATCAAATATAACAGAACAAGAGAACTAGAAGGCTCAAGAGCATCTTCAGTGCTCTATTTCTCAGCAGTATCCAGCTATTTGTTAAATAATGATCCTATAAAGCAGACAAATGTTGTCTGGTAACAAGCTTATACATTACAGAAGAGAATGAAAGAATGAAACCAAACCACATGTGGCAATCTTCACCCTGTCTGACCTAAAGGGAGAATTACTCAGTGGTAACTTGAGCCTTAGTCATGGTCAGGATGAACCAGTTAGGCCCACATAACAATTCAGTATCTCAAAGATCAGGTCTGCCCCTCAGGCTATTTGGATATTGCCATTATGTTGTATAAAGTACAAGAAGTCCCCATAAGTAAAATTATATTTGATACATGTGTGCGTGTTCTTTGAGGTGATGGAAATAATAGAGAATACATAATTTAGGGGGAATAAATTATCATCTTTAGATTATTTTTCTGTCAGTACTGAGGTGACCAGCAGGTCAAAGGAGGTGATCCTGCCCCTCTACTCCTGTGAGACCTCACTTGCAGTGTTGTGTACAGTTCTGGTATCCCCAACATAAAAAGGACATGGATCTGTTGGAACAAGTCCAGAGGAGACCACGAGGATGATCAGGGACTGGAGCACTTCCCATATGAAGGCAGCCTGAGAACACTGGGGCTGTTCAGCCTGGAGAAGAGAAGCTGCGTTGAGACCTCAGAGCAGTTTCCAGTGTCTGAAGGGGGCTACAAGGATGCTGGAGAGGGACTCTTCATCAGGGACTGTAGTGATAGGACAAGGGATGATGGGTTCAAACTGAAACAGGGGAAGTTCAGGTTAGATATAAGGAAGAAGTTCTTTACTGTACTGGAATGGGTTACCTAAGGAGGTTGTGAATGCTGCATCCCTGGTGGAGTTCAAGGCCAGGTTGGACAGAGCCTTGGGCGACATGTTTTAGTGCGAGGTGTCCCTGCCCATGGCAGGGGGGTTGGAACTGGATGATCTTACGGTCCTTTCCAACCCAAACCATTCTATGATTAGCACTTTGTGGTAATAATGTTGTTGTAGCAGCAAAATTTTAGAGGTAGAAGCACTTTCTTTTCAATTCTTTTCTTCCCCCTAACTGTGCAAAAGAAAACTTTACCTTTTGTTTCTGTTCTTAACCTTTTCTCTTGAATTCAGGGCAAGCATACAAAGAAGAGCCATTGTTACCCACCAATGAACAGAGATCACCGCAGAATCATCCATGAATTAGCTCAGGTTTATGGCATCGAAAGCGTGAGCTACGACAACGAACCAAAGCGCAATGTTGTTATCACTGCAGTGAAGTACGTAATCCGTGTTTGTTTTCAAACCTGTTAATGATTGTTTAAATAATTGGGTATTTTTATTACTTACTTGAGTTTGAGTTGATTTCCAGTGCTATCATCAATATGTAGTAATTTCCAGTAGATATTTAAGGTAGTTTTAAAATTAATAGTTTCATAGGCTTTTATTTCCACTAGTCAAGTAAATCTTCAGAGAAGAAAACCTAATTAGCCATTAAAAAGCTAATAGAAGATTGCAAGGCTGTTTTCCATTTATCTTCATAGTAACTGTTTGTCTTTTTGCCATCAGCTAAATTTGATAGAAGTATCGAAAATGGTAAAAGTCATCAAATTTTAAGAAAATATAATTGCTGGATTGAGAAGTCATACCTACATTCTCACCTTCTTTGAAAAAATCTGGTATTAGAACTTACTTGTTCTTCATCTGCCTGAACCTGCCACAGAGTATATTACCAGACAAAGGGAGACCTGGAATTACTGCAAATTGGAGAGATTTCCAAGCAAAACTGGAAACATTTAGATAATACCCACAGAAGGCAATTCATATTAGAGAAGGAAATGAAGGGGATATAGCTGGGGAAGGTTGATCTGAATTACAGTTCTGATGTCACTTAAAGTATAAGACCCCGAGTAAATCCTTACAAATGCCCTTCTCCATGCTTCCCTCTTGGTCATCTTTGCAGTCACCGTCTTCGAGGAATTGCAGTACCAGATTCCTTCTGAACCAGGTTCAAAGGTTACTTTTTGAAAGGACATTACCTGGACCTTTGTCCAGACTGGTATGGTGGAAAGGGGAAGGCTTTCCACTCCAAGTTGACACATGCACTTTACTGTACCTGTCAGTGGTTTCTTAAACTCTTTTACTCGTATGAATTTCCTTCTCCTATGAATAATGCTGAATGCCAGAGCCTGTTAAGGAGCATTGCTTGTTGCTATTTAGTGACCAGTGTTTAAGCTGCATGGACTTGAATATCCTGGAAGTGTTTTTTAAGAACAGTCATCCCTGTAAGGCCCATCCTTTTCCTCTTCCTTCCAAGAACAATAGGTTCAGTCTCTCCTCACGAACAGGGGGACTTTTCAGGAAGGTGACAGGGTCCCTGCGTATTGTTTTCACTGGGAAAACCACATCCTGCCACAGTCTTGTTGAAGTGTTCTCTATTATTTATTCTTCTTCACCCAGGATTTTGTTTGCTTTCAATGAGGTATGTCTGCAGACAGTTCAGGAGTGGTTACCTAGCTGCAGGCTATGCAAAACCAACAGGAACAAAGACCTAAATAAAATAAACCTCTTGTAACTACATGTAACACCCTTACCAGGTCACGGCAGTTGCATCCCAGAAGGCAAAAACTGTACATCCCAGTGGCAGGGTTGGAAAGAAATCATATGCTTAGAGGAAACAGATTTATTGTTTAGCCTCTAAGTTTTTCAGGTACTGAAACGTGTCCAGAACATCTCCAGGTACAAGTTCATTCTATTTTGTAAATTAACTGTCTACAGCCTTTCTGGTATCTGGAATCAGTTTGCATCCAATTTGACAGAAGTTCTCATGGTTTCCTGAAGGTACTCTCACTTTAAGGACTTCTGCCCTTCACTCTCTAGGAATTTTCTCCTCTGCCATGAGGAAGTCTTTCTCTCTACCCTTTGCAATCACAAAGGTCTTTTCCAGTGGCTGCATCTCAACACCTGTAGCGTCTAAGTCTTCCTGAGCAGTGTAAGTAGAAATAGTGCTACAGGTCACCAGCCAGGGTGGTTTAAACAGCAGTCCTGCTTCAGAAGAGTAGCATCTCCTTCTTACTGTTTTCCTTTCAATCTTGACACCGTTTGCCCTGAGGATAGCATGTGTTACCTCTTGACAGTTTATGAAATAGTATATGTTAAGTCTAGGCAGTCTAATCAGAAGATGCTTCATTATTCCACCAAAACTGTATCAGCTTTGGGAGACACTTCTCACAAAAACCTGCTCTGTCTGAAACAGAATGGATCTTATTGCAAGGCTATATGGAGTCAGTTCTGGACAGATTGGTGGCCAAAGAGTTTTGTAGTATTTCATATCAAATAGATCAATCCTCGAGTTATTAAAATTGAACTCCCAGTCTTCAAGGGGAAGATAAGTTTGAGTCCTGGTTTTCACAGTTCAGTTTTGGACCACAGGCCATCCTGCCAGCACTACCAGTGCCTTAGAGACTGCAGATAGTTATTTATGTTCTCATTGTTTTTCCTTGGAGTCCTGCTAAAAACCTCTCATCCCATCTTTGTTGCTTGGGGCAGGCAGTTGTCTTTTTTCTTATTTTGAGAATAAGTTAATAGAACATAGAATAGCAACTTTAATATCAAAATGTCCAAAGTACTTGCAGAGCCTTTTGGTTCCATCTTCACAGTTTTGTTACAACTGATGACAGCGAGCCATGATTTATGATAGCAGGAAGGGAGGATCTGCTTTCCTTCTCCTTTGTGGCAAATAATTTGTCAAGGGTTTTTTTGTTTTGTGTGTTTTCCATTGTGTATCTATTTAGTTGAATTCAGTTGTTTGGTTTTCTTCCAGATGAATTGAATATAATGGGCTGTTTAATTGCTTTATTTCCTTTTATTTCTTTGGATTTAAAAAAACCCAACCAAACAAAACAAGCCACAAACCAAAACAACAGAGAGATTCACAGTATTCTGGGAGATTGGAGTCAAGCTAGCATTGTCCTGTGTGTCACGAAGGTGTACAAGAAGTGGTGTACCTTTTCCTTGAATGCGTGTTGACAGTTTTTTGTCTCTAAAGTCTCTGTGGTTTCATGACTGGACAGTCTGCTGTATTTATCTTCTGCTTTTTTGGTGAGGGGAACACACATTAAATCTTGTCAAAGCTAAAACAGAGCTAGGCTTTGATGTGACCAAAGCTAATTTTGTTCCAGGATCTCCTCAAACAGTACACAGACTGATCTCTCCTCATTTTGAAAGGTTTGATGTACTAATCTACATCAACATTTAGCTTCAGTGGAGGGCTGCTGTATTTACTTTCTTGGGGAGAACGTTCTCTTTTTCCTGTAAGACTTTAGCTAATTGCAGAAATAAGCACATGTGTTGTCTTCCAAGTGTTTTGTTTTCCTGCCTTCTAGAACTCTCATTTATTTACTTGTTTTACTAGAGAAGCAAGATTTAGTCTGGCATTTTAAAGGCATGACATCTTACTCTACTTAATGAGGTCCTCCTTTCACCTATTTACTTCCAGTCAGTTGGGTTTCCATATTTTTGCAAACCAGAGGTGATAAAAATGAAAGAAGACAACCAAATATTATCCTATTTACCATAGGCCACTTTTAATCTTTTCAGGTAGAGTTCTACAATTGACGTAACTGAAATGATAGTGGGAGCATTTGGCTTTATATGCCAGGCTTGGAGCTAAAGGAGAGGAGGAGTTTTTACCCACTTTATTAAAGAGGGGAAAATCTGCTGTTCTCAACTGATACTTGCTGTTAGAATGTGTGTATTAGTTATAATCTTGGAAAAATCTGTGGTCAAATAACACTTTCAGTGTTGGGGAAAGGAGAACACTTTGAACTGATGATCTGTGTTTTCAGAACTTTGCAGTTCCTTTGAACAGACTGTCATACTCAGTTTAAAACAATAGTGAAATGGGGTCAGGGATCACCACTTCATATTTTAGTGGCCTTCTGAGTTTCCTTGAGGTTGTTGTGGAGGTTTTCGTCTGTGTTGCCACAATATCACAGGAATTTGCCCCTTTATGTTCAGAACTGATGGAAATAAGATAAAACTTACTATTTTCTAAACTCTGAAATAGAACTGGTGTTCATCTGTGTGCATACAGATGTGAGATTTAAACTGCTTAGGGCTCTGGCAGAGGCGGGGGAAAACATGAATTGCCAAGTATGTGACCAAGCATGGAGCTCAACACATTTCTGGAATTACAGCAATACACAGTCTATTGTTTTGCAGCATTTTTTGCTATTTGGAATGTAATTTTGAGAAGAACAAGATGAACTTGAAAGTAGGAATTTAACGTGATTAGTCAACACAGGAAATCTCATGGTCTGGAGGGTTCTGCTCTAGGAGGATCTTGTTTAAAAACTCATGAGTAAAGTAAGCAAGGAGGAAACATTATTTAATGATTGACATAGAATCACAGTATCATTTTGGTTGGCAAAAGACCCGTAAGATCATTGAGTCTAATCTTTAACCTAACCCTGTTAAATCCACCATGAAACCATGTCCCTAAGCAACATGTCTACACATCTTTTAAATACCTCTAGGGACGGTGACTCCACCACTTCCCAGGGCAGCCTGTTCCAATGGTTGACAACTCTTCCAATAGAAACCATTCAGATAGAAATAGGAAAGTAATCCAGTGTAGTGTACCAGACTTAGTTTGGTCTTAAAATATCAGTAGCGTGGGCTTGGAGGAAAGTACAAGAAAGGTAAGAAATTGGTATTGCCAAGGTTTAAGAGTTTTTTGTGGGGACAAATAAGTGGAATAAGAAATTGTGAATGGAAAAGATGGTGATAGTGAAGGTTTTTCAGTCTTGCAGTTAAGTCGTAACAGTGAGTGCAAGTTGAAATAAAGTAAGTTCAGCCTTGAAAGTGGCTCATGAATTTATAGGATAATCTGTGGGAAGACATCTTCACAGCCTGTGTGTCTGGTAATTATTTGGAATTTTTTAATAATTTCTTTGTAGTTCAGTGCCTTTTGGGACCAATCTGGGGCTGGCTTTTAATTGGCTTTGTTTTTCTGGGTGGTTTTGGTTTGGGTTTTCTTAATATCCTTCCTCTTTCTCCAGCCAGTTCAGCCTTTTAGCATGGACTGCCATACTGAAGTTGAGTGTGATTCACAGCCAGTATATGCCTAAAGCATAGAAATGTACATGCTGAAGTACACTGTACTGGGGAAAATACTGCTTTGCACCACAGCCGCAGGGTAGCCCTTGCACTGCAGATGATACAAGCACAAGTAGGATGATTCATTGTGTGGTCACAAGCACATAATAGACTGTTACTAGTGTGGAGGGCAGGAATAGCTGATTATTCCTCACCCCAATGCATAATGTAATTTCTGTGATCTTGTTCACTTGGGCTAGCTGAAAAGGAACAGTCAGTGTTGTTGCATTGTTCCTAGGATAGTGCTGCTTTGAGTGCAGAGTGCTAAACAAGTTTAGTGTGACTTCACTGCCAGAGTTTAAAAGCATGTTTCCAAAACATCAGATAACATGTTGTGAAGATGCAGTGAACTGTGTTCACAGGGTACCAGGTTAAGTAAGTAAGTTGTTGGTTCTAATCTTCTATTTGTTCTGTGAAAGAAGAGATATATGTTGACCTAGAAAGCAAGTACTGCATTTTTGGTACTTTAGTAGTTGATCGTGTTGTGCACTTCACGTGCAGAAACGAAAAAGTCTGAGCACCAGCACTCAAATCTAGTAAGCTGCTTCTGCATCTTTTATAGACAGCTATCAAGAGACATTTAGAATACTTGAGTATCTTGGTAAGAAAAATGGACTTGGCACATTCTTGGTCTCTGTCATTGAAAAATTAAGTATTTGAGTAGGTGATTTTAAGTATACAAGTATGAGCTCTGACTCCAGAACACCTACGTACAAATGTAACTCTTTTACCCTAACTTCTTGATGAATACAATTTCCTATTGAATTAAATAACCTTTCTTTTGTTTTCCTAGAGGGAAATCCTTTTGTCCAAGCAATACCTTAACTTCTGTGCTAGATAAAGAAATGCAGAGCAGGCCTCTGGCTCCACCTCCTATTCCTCATTACAAACAAACAGATAAGTAAGGAATTTGTTTTTAAAACGGTGTTCTTCAGTTTTGTGCTGAGTTACTTGAGTGTTTCTGAGCTTCATAAAGATTATATAGTTGGGAAGAGAGGGCTGCTTTGGAGATGTTTTTCACCTTTAACTGTTCTTTGTGAAAGAGTAAGGTGTTACTTGCATAAGATGATTCATTTGGACAGGTAGTAAACGTATTTTTCTTGTGTAGATATGACTATACAGTTGGCTAAAGGTGAAATACTGTTTTTCTCTCCCTATTGAAAATGGGATATACAAGGTTTCTTGGTGAAGAGTAATAGAACAGGCTTTACTTTGTATGACCTGCCAGCTTGGGTACCTGTAGTCATCTCGTAGTCATGAATTCTCTTAATGAATGGCTAATTCTTTACCTTTCAGATACATTCCCCCCCCTTCCCCAAGTTATTTCAGATTAGCATTTGAAATCATGTTCTGTGCAGTACTGCTTGCAGAAGGCAACAGCTTGATTTTGCAGTAGCTATTGCAATAGCTATTGGGTGTTTAAGGTGCTGCTGGAACACAAAGTAGGCTATTCTGAAGAGAAAATGTAAGTTGTTTCAGAAGTAAGCATCTAGAGCAAAACACACGCCTAAAATGACTGCTTACAGTGTAAGTGTGAATGTTGAACAGGTTGTTACTCCTCATTTCCACTTACTCCTCTGGGATCCCTGTCTTCAGTGACTATAATGAAACAGGTTTATGTGCAAAATTAATTAAAAAAAGGGATTTAGCCATTCATTTTTAACTACCAGAAGTGAAATTGCTTTAGAAGTAATTAATTCTACAAAATCCTCTGTCTTATGGGGAAAAAAGTCTTTACAGTGTTTGGATTTAGTATTGCCATGTGTTTTTGTTACTCTTGCTTTTAAAAGCAAGCAGATTTGATCATCAACTCGCTTCAACTGTGTTTCCTTTCTCTTTCTCTTAAAAAGGCCTCTTGAACATTTAGCCTTCAGTACAGTATCATTTTTGTAATAAGTATTACCAGTTTTGGGGGTCTTTCCTGGTAAGTAACACCTAATATTCTTATAATTTCAGGACTACTGGAGACAGTGGTTTATCCAAACCGTTAAAAGAAGAGCCGATAATTGACTACTTTGATGTCCAGGACTGAATTGGTTGATGTAGAATTACGCTGTAGAAGCTTAGAGGTGAAGACACTAAGTTATTGTATGAGGCGCTTTTTGGTTTATCTGTCAAATGATCAGTTGTTCAGAATATTCATGATTATACATCTGAAGTTAGGTTGATTGTGATATTTTACAATGTTCTGCATTTTTACAGTTTATGTAACTGCATAATACCTAACAGTAGTACAGCTTTTTAAACCTGGGTTTGGTGCAATTTTCTATCTTAATGTGCTGTCAGAGTGGTGCAGATTTCCATTGATGCCTTTAAAGTGAGAGAACTGGTAACCAAATACATTTTTGGGAGTGGAAAGAACAACGGTAAATCTCAAAAGATTTATTTTGACTTATGTCACACAGCTTAAAATGGACCAGAAATAATCTGTGTTAAAAACACTGGTGGGAATACTCTTAACGTGTTATCTTATTAATTCACTTTTGTGTTAATGTGGTAAATTTGGGAATGTTAGTTACTTTCCTGTATGGAAGGAAATACAAAGTTTAGTCTAGGTATGAATACATTACACTAAACGCTCATTAAGTGCTCAGACTTCTTTGGTATCTAAAGATCCAGGACTTGGGAAAGGTGAGGAATTAAGTCTTGTTTTGCTTTATCTCAAAAATCAAACCAACTCACCATCATTCCCTCTTACCCCCGAAAAAACCCCAACACAAGAAAACTGTTAATACTTAGTTATTCAAGATCTTGAACAAAATCATGCTTTATATGTTCTTTTGATGTTCTATCTGGTTTGATTTGTATTTAGATATGTTAACTTGATGGTCTTTGGGGTTTTTTTGCATGGTTTTACTGGGGCTTTATATTTTTTTCTATACTGTGCAAGCTTAAGGTGAATGTGTGAAGTTTGCTTTAAGTATGTTATGGATTTGGAACAGTATTTGTAAAAATTTACAAGACCATTTGTCTTCAGCTGTTTGAAGATTTGGCAACAGAAGATTTTTGTTTTATGGGAAATGCCATAAACAAAAGTGGATGATGGTTTGAACAGTGAAAGACACCAGAGTGGTCTCCTAGATCGTCAGTTGTTTACAAATGATAAGGTAGCTCTCTGGGAGAGGAGATCATAGGTCTGGTCAGAAGAGGGGACTCAGCTCTCAGTTTGAGAAGTATCTGTTCACTTAAGGGGTTTTGAATTGACATTGATGCAGTCTGTTTCTTGTTCCTTGTGGCTGGCTACATGTAGCACTGGAGGCGAGTCCCCTGTGCAGCATCAGAGGGTGCTGCTAAAAGGGGCTTAACGTAACGAAGAAACAGATTTAACAGAAGACCTGTCATCTGTTGTTTATTTTTCAGCTAGTTTACTACAGTGTGTGGGATCTGTTGCTGAGAAAATGGGAAGGCAGTTATCCATGCTTAGATTCCTTTATAGTTATCACACGACCCTGAGCCTTAACTGTGAAGCGTTCTGTGGCTACGTTTCATCTTGAACAGCTTGTGAAACATGAAAGAATGAGCAGCAAAATCACAGACTGTATCTGTCCCCAGAATGTTTTGGAAATTAAAATGCATGCTGTAACTGCCTTTTTTTGTTGGAGCTTTTTATTTCACATGCAGAAAACAGGCAGTCTTAAATGTTTCTGAGTATTTGAAATGCATATACTTCAGGTAAAGAACTTACCAGAAGGATTTTCAACCCTTAAGAGTTTCATTTAAATGTAGTGGTTTAAATGGGTTTGACCTTTTTTTGTGAACAGGAATGAAAAATAAACTAGCATAGCTTATATTGCCCTTAAATTCTTGAGCAAATTAATGTCTGGTTCTACAAAGCGCACTGCTTTGCTAAGTTCAGCTGAAGAAATTAAGTTGCTCAGCATCTTTCCAGGAATGTTTCCTCAGTCCCTTCCTTGTGAGGACTGTTTCTCTAGTGTTTGCAGACAAGAGCCAGCTCAGGATGGCCAGAAAAAGGCTAATTCTGATTTTGAAACTCAGAGCTACGTTAACATAGGACTGTTTTCAAGCTAGTTTGATCTGTTAGGAAGAATGTAGATAGTTACACTGCAGAGGTCGTTCTAGACAGGAGCTGGTGCAGTTGGTATCCCACAGGTAGGCCTAACATTAGAGAAAACCAAAGTGATTTAGTTGGTAATAAATAGAATAAAGCTGAAGCCTATAAACTTTTCACACAGCTTCACATAGCTAAAACTTGACATTTGTACCTGTGATTTGAAGTTTAAAACTTAAAATGTTTTAATAGCATTATATTTAGCTCTGCTCCTTGGGATTTTATCATATGATGGCTTTAACATAAATATGTGAACCTCGGTGAGGTGCACTTAAGCAGTCACATATTCTGCCACTGCTTTTGATCAGAAAACCCAGGTAATCTTCAGCTTCTCAAGATGAGACTAACAGTTATTACCGAATCTGTTCATACTGAGAAATCATAATTCTTACCACTAAGCCTTTAAACTACATGAATTTTACAATATTTTTATAAATCTCTGTTAAACATCTCTGAATCATGTCTGTTGGAGCATATCTGTAGATATGAAGCAAGTCACATGTATAGAAACCTTTATTTTGAAGTACGTTTTAATAACTTGATTTAAAACATGATACCATCCATTTACCTAGGAAAGTAAAGCCAAAAAGGAAGTGTTGATGTCTTTCCTCCCAGTACGCAGTTACATAGCCTTAAGAAGGAACTCAGCGAAGTTTAACGGTGGTGCTGTCCTCTCTGTTCTGGTTTGCTTTTGCTGCGGTGTATCTGTGAGTACTAAAGGCTGTAGTTTTGATATTTGTGGTAACTCATCTTCGTATTGCACGTGTGCCTCATGGAAGTATTTTTCAAATAGCTATTTTGTAAATCTGAGCTGGCCTTTACACCTTTTATCTAACAGAAAAATGAGTGGATAAAAGATACCTTTGCATCAGTAAAGTCAGTGGCAAAAATCCTGTTGACATCACCAGAAACAAGCCTCCAGCTTCGATATGCGTGTCACTTTTCCACAGCCCTAAGAATAATACTGTTTCTTGTACATTTATCTGAAAGAAGTACTCTGCAATAAGCATCTTTGGAAACAAATTACGTGATGTCAGTTGGAATTCATGCAACTTCATGAAGTGCTTTTAAAATGGTGTATAAAATAGGCAGATCCTTTGGCATTTGGGCTGTGCTGTTGCCTATCTATATTGTTTAACATGTTTAAAGTGCTCTGAATATTCAGTGCTTGGGTTTAACCTAACATTGTGTAAGATGCTTAAGTAGTCTTCAATACCACTGTTTCTGTGGCAGTTTTGTACAGTATCTGCCGCATAATGAAATGAGCAAAGTAAAATTGTTCTAAACCACTTATTTGTTGGAAGTTTTATATTTGACTTGATTTTTTTTTTCCTTTCAAATGACTGGTATAAAATTTCTTTATAAACGTGAAATAATTCCAGGTTGAAAGTGCAGTGCTTTGGGAGTTGTTTGGAAGCTTAGTCTTTTGGCGTTCCAAAGTCGGAAGACTGAGATATGACAGAGAAAGAAGTAAAGATGTAAATGGAAGTCCAGGAAGTCCTTTTCCTCAAATGAAGTGTGATTTCCTGGATTTGAAGTGATTTTCAAATTAATGCTGTGAGAAGAATGAAGCATTTCTCCTTGGGAAATGGAGAGTAAGGATTATCTGCTACCTTCTTCGAATTCAGAAGTACAGGAGAAGTGATTATCTGAATAGAAGTGTACATTTTGATTATCTGAAAAACCCTTTGCTATGTCAGCCTAAATGCTACTTGGCAATAAAATGTATGATTTTAACTCATTGTCCTTTCATTGTTGTTTGCCCACCATTCAATTGTAACAGTGACTAAAGAAGAGTGCTATAGTGAGGGTGGTGGTATAAGGACAAATATCACTTACAGGTCCCTGCGGGCATTAGGTTTAGTAAATTAGATGGCAGATGTTACAGAGTGGTGATGAAAACTTTGCCAACACAGTTCAGTAGATGTCAGGAGGGCTCAAACACTTAAAATCAGAAGTTTGGAATTACTTGAACTGCTTCCTCCTGAAACTTTTATAATACCAAGTAATGCATCTCCAACAGCAAAAGCCACAGAGATGGAGAACAGCAGTAAAAATTAGAGTGGCCTGACCTGGTGTGTCAGATGGAGTGCAAGATGACTCAAAGAAATTCAGGAAATGATGTGAGAATGAAGAGTCCATGAAAGACAACTGGAAACTTTGTGTCTTACTTCCTCATCTGCCAGTTAAGTTTGGACTTTCTTTTGAGCATGTTTTGCAGGATGAAGGTGGCTTGTTGCAGGTATATAAGCACTGCAAACCAGATCTTTATTAGAAATCTGCCTGAAAAAAATACTTGCACTTCAATTCAGGACTGTCATTGACGAGGTGACCAAACATGCCATTGTCATCTGTGTGTGCAGATGGCAGCAGAAGAGACAAATCAATTTGGCTTTGTGTTCACCTATCTTGTCTGTGTTTGGAAATAGTCATTCAGGTCACAACATAGTCAAAACAGTGCCCTACTAGGTTTTCAGGTATTTTAGACTTTGTAGATGTTGAATTCCATGCAGAAGCCTTGCTACTTAACAAATGCTGTTCTCAGCCTGTACTAACATGTTGAGTTCATAAGATGGTTGATGTGCAAAGTTTTGTCTACACACTTGTTACCTGACCATGAACCAGAGTATCAGAGACGTTAAATAGGGTATCTTTAGGAGGATTGTATTTTGGATGCTCCTGAGCTCCAGACCTAGTATCTTAGTCTTTGTCATTTCAGGATATTTGGAGCAAATAGTGCAGCTTCTTGAGCAAAGGGATGTTGTTGCTATCCTGAGAGAAGCCAGGTTCCAGAAGGATCCTGGGAATCCTTTGGTGTTAACAGGACATTGTTGCAGGTAGCAACGTGGATCCTTTCAGCTTCCAGCCAAAGGGTAGGTGAGTGTGCCTTTATGTTCAGTGGGTAAAATCTGCTGTACTTCCTTCTGGGGTAGGGTTGTGGTATGGGTGAGGTGCCCTTCTCCAGTCTAGACTTGTCTTGTTCTGCCACCCCACAAACTGATGTTTCCAGCACTGTATTTCTTTTGAAGTCAGGGTGTCCAGGTTTACTATTCTGTGGAAAATAGAGGTCTCAGAAAATGGTGTTGCCACTGAAAGAATCTTTTTCGGAGCACAGACCAAGACCTAACACCTTTCTGATGTTTCAGGCAATCCTCTATAAACTGGTTCAGGCTCCATCATTGTATGACCTACTGTTGCCTGCTCTGGAGCTCTCTTTCCAGAAATGGAGGGGAGGGCAAAACATATTGTGTGAAGGGCAGCCAAAGCAGATCTCCACGCCTTTACTCTTGGTGAAATCATGATCAGAAACTGACAGAGAGTGATCTGGCTTTCTACTGTATCTAATGGGTGCTTCAATGTCCACCCTTCTTGCTACATACATATTTATTCCCTTGACATGTAGGAAATTTATTCTAGTCAGAGGATGAGAGGGCTTCATTTCTAAAGAGCTGTAAGAAAGTAAACTAAACATTGCAATCACTGTGAAGAAAAACTCATCCTAATGCAAACCTTTTTCTATAGTAGGTAGGAACCAAAGGGCTCTTAAAAGAGGGGCTAAGCTTACATGTTTTACTAGGGAGCATCTTATACAAATCTCAGCTCCAGGAAATAAAAGGCTATGGTGAAAACTGAGTAGTGGGACGTGTTTTATAGTTGCCTGTAAAACAATAGAGTTGGAAAAGTACATTCTGCCCATTGAAGGTACCTAGAGAGCTTTTTCATTTTAACAAGGGGTTCAAGTTAGATACATCTTAACAGCATTAATAAACACTGTTTCAGGAAGCATTAATTAAAGTCTTCAGTCAGTGCAGTAACTCCTGGGGTAAGTACTCATTTAGATTTCTATTTAAACTCAGTATGTTGGCATCAAATAAATAGGTGCCAAAGTTTCTAATGAAGTATGTGTCTGTGTGACTGCTTAGGAAGGACATTTCAGCAGCTTCAATCAACGGGTTATGCAATTCCAATTAGATGCTATTGAAGTAGGCAGTGATTAAACAGGTATTGGATTGATGCCACTAAAATATCAATGAAATAACTCATTAATGAGTTTTTATTTAAGGTGTATTTCTGGCAACTTGTATCACTCCTTAAATGCCTAATTAATCTTACTTGTTAGCTGACATCTAAGTACCTACTAAGCAATGCATGTAATCACTAAGAAGTAGCTGATAAAACGTTGTATGAAATCAGTTTTCAGCCTAAATGCACACAAAGCCATGGACCTAGAATGGAAAAGATGCAACTGTAGAGGCTGGAGCCTACTGTCTAGACAGCAGCTTTATGTAAAAGGGCGTGGAGGGAAGCAAGTCAAGGGAAGTGATGACTCCCTCTCTATGCAGTACATGTGAATGACTCCTGTAGTCCTGGGACCAGCTGTGGGCTTCCCAGTGCAAGAAAGACCTGACTGGGTTGAGTCAAACAGGACCACCAAGTTGAGGAGGAGATAGGAGTTTGTGACGTACATGGAGGGGTTAGAGGCACTGGATTTATGCAGCCTCAAGCACTGAGCTCTCCTGACAGATTAGCCCAAGAGATAGTGCACAATGTGTTGGGTTAAGTACCAGAAGGCTTTCTAGTTTTAAGGTGGACAGGGTGCCAGGTAATAGAATGGAGTTCCAACCTATCAAGGGATAGGAGAAAAAACAAAAGGACTCTGTTCTGTGACAGTTTGCCAGTTAGAGGGGAAGTTTTGTTCATTCTTAAGACCAGTAAGTATTAAGGGGACCAGTGAATTCTGGCTAATCATTACTTGTCCTCTCATTGTACGTAGAGGTTTCATTCTGTTCTGTTCTTGCAGAGCAGGCAGAGATGGCAGAATATATTCTTTGTTATGATCTTTAAGGTACTGTTTCTTTGGCTCAGCATCACCAGTGATACCTGTAGAACATGGCTTACAAAATATAGGAGTGTTTTGGCTACTACTGGTAGATCAATTAAGATTGAAGTTCTAAGGCCAGGCACAGTGGTTGCTCAACAGCTTATGCAGTCTTCAAAGCAGATGAGCCCAATGCTAGAATGTACAAATTCGAAAGGCTGCTTGTGTCACACATCGTCCCGATGACTTTCTGTGTGCTGTTGCAGCATAGTAGGATTGTGGCTTGACTGGTGACACTTCCAGGCAGTCAATCTCTGCTAGCAGAAGAGACAGCTGTATTGTTTGGATAGACAGGGAGCCCCAGGACAAGTTTCTCACTTGTAGTACTGGAATGAGAGACAAGAGACAGTTGCACTCAACTAGCAATCCTGCAAAATGCTTTAGTTTTGCTGCCAAGGGTACTAATACGAGGTGAAGTACCTGCTGCTACAGTGGTCTGGGCCATCTCTGGGCTGAAAAAGCCAGACCATGGCAGAAGGAGAACTGTATGTTGTACAGAAGTCCTTGGGAGATGGTATTAGGCGAATCTAAACTTGAAGGGTTCTTGTAAGAGACCAAATGAGACGGGACCATGAACTGAATTTCAAGGTAAGTTTTAGTCAGAGAATGTGGGTTGTGGGGAAGCATCCTTTACCCACAGCTGTAGGAGTTTACAGCAGCCTGTAAGACTAGTGATAGTTGGGCTGGAAGCTTATATTCCCATATCTGGGAACATAACATCTGGCTGATGCTGTAAAAAAAAAGCAGAAGATTGAGAATGAAATAGACTGTACTGGCAGATGATGATTACTGTGGAAGCAGCAGCACCCAGGCTTTGGATGCAGCCTACAGACTAATGGTTTTGAAGACCACAGCTGGGGCTGAAAGAACAAGGGTACCAAAAAAACCCAGTTGGGAGGTTTGCAGAGCTAAAGAACATGGTTATTGGGTACAGAGTAGACAAGGTGGAGGGTATAAAAGTGCTGCTGTTGCAGATAATTCTTGGCCCAGCAAACTAGAAAATACTGTTACAACAAAGACTGTTTGTTAGTAAAGCTAAATGCAAAAGTGGTTATTATGAACATCACTAGAGAGTGTTTATGGCACCCACATTTACAAACTGCTTTTCTGAGTCTGCTGAGCAGCGGACATGAGCAGGACATCTCCTGTCCTGCTAGGGCAGAAGAGGATCTCCTGGAAGGGATATCCTTGATACTGCAGTCACCCTATAGAACAAGAGGCTGTGCTCATCGTGAATATGTTTACAGCCAGCACACCCAGGTTCTGAAGGGGGTGTTTGAAAGTGCAGTGTCTACAACCAAATGCAGCAGAGGAGGTGGAGCAGGAGGCACCTGTAGGGAATGTGCAGCAATGGTTATAGTGCATCCAGGCATTTGGAGCTAGGCAGTATGAAGGAGAATAAGATTTGTTAATTTAGACCAGGTATCACTACAAGGATTAAATGTTTTAACCACTTATGCCAACTGTTTGAACCTGGTGATTATGTTGAGCTCCATCTTGATGTCAGCATGCACAACCCTTTACAGTCTCCCACTGTTACTTTAAGCAGTATAAAAGCAGAGAGAATTTTAGAATGCATCAATCTAAAATCTGACATTGCAGAGAGCTGAAAAAGTGCCTTGTAGCATTGCAAACATGGTGGAATCTCTGTGTTTCAGGAATAGCAGAGGAAAGGCACTGCCCTAAACTCCAGATAATCTCAGCTGCAACTCTTCTTCCTCTCTTCCCTGCCCTCATTCAGATCAAGGCTGCACCCATTCTCTAGCTTTTCCAGGTTTCCCATTCTCTCAGCTAGACAGGAAGTCACCCTTTTCTGTCCATTCAAGCCCGAACACATTGTACACGGTTATGGTAATTG